TTAAATCTGTCATATTTGTAAATCTCTTCATCAGCTCTCTTGGCATCTTCAGCGACTCATGCAGCTCATTCCTTGACATGTGTGACTCTCTTTTCATCGATGATCAACACAAACGATGTCTCATTTCTAAGATTTCAATGATATCCATTCGTACCACCTATTACATTTTTTGCGGTAGGAACAAAACATGGACTAACCCAGAGCTACTCCCTTTCTAACGTTTTTTTCTTTTCTCTTTACTACGATTGTAATAGTCTGATTTTGTAAAAACAGGCTAGCCAGTTACAAATTACCTTGTAATGGTGAGATTTGTAATTGTAGTTTTAACTGGAATTCAAAATGAAAAGTTTCCATTATTATTTTTTTTATCCAAAAAGGCTTCACCTCAAAAGTATCAGGTACATTAGAGCCCACAGCAATTATGAGCCATTTAATAAATAAAGCTCGCATTAAGCAACGATCTTTAGTGGTATCTTTGCTGGATCTCAAAAACGCCTTTGGCGAAGTTCACCACAAGCTGATACCAGCTATTCTTGCTTATCATCATATACCTTCGGAAATTCAATCATTGATCTCAAGCTTATATTTAGATTTTAAGACCTGTATCATAACCGATAAATTCCAAACCTCTGCAATTCCCGTTCGCCGCGGCGTATTGCAAGGTGACTGCCTCAGCCCCCTTCTTTTCAACCTTTGCTTCAACACGTTCATACAATACATCAAATCAGATAAATATAAGCAGCTTGGTTTCTCCCCCCATGATGGGAATGACCGCATGTTTCAGCCCGTAAACTGGTTTCAGTTTGCTGATGATGCTGCTGTTGTTACCAGTGGAGAAAAGGAGAACCAACTCTTATTAAACTGCTTTACCAGATGGTGCCAATGGGCTAACTTCATTGTCAGGGTTGACAAATGTGTTACCTTTGGTGTCAAGAAACCCTCTACGCGATCCCTCCAATTTCAACCGAAACTTTTCATCTGTAACCAAATAGTACCTGCTGTCAAAAATGGCGATTCCTTTAAATATCTTGGTCGTTTCTTTGATTTTGAAATGAGTAACCAAGATCATAAATCTAAACTCGTTTCTCTTTTCTCTACTCTTATGAAGGATATTGACGACTTACCTCTCCATCCTAAAAACAAACTGCTATTATACCATCGTTATATTCTGTCAAAAGTTTCATGGCATTTTACTGTTGCAGATCTACCAAAGACCTGGGTTGTCAAAAACCTAGACAATCTTGTTTCCAATTACATTCGCCAGTGGCTTGATCTTCCCGTTTCTGCAACATTGAGTGTAATAATCCTCTTAAAAAATCAGTTTGGCCTGAATCTTCAACTGCCTTCTATCAAAATTACGCAATGCCAAACTGTCTGTCGCAATGCCCTAAAATCTTCTCCTAACATTGACATTCAAACCCTATGGAAAGGCACCAACCTACAGTACGACATCTATCGTAATACTAAAGAGGTATTAAAGGCTGTCAAATCAGACAACAAAAAACGTCTCTCTCAAAACTTACCATCTCAGGGAGCTACAAATTACCTTTCTACTGAAACATTCACTTGGAAAGCTGAACGGTATTTGGTCAAGTACACAGAGCAATTTGCCTAGTAACATCTTTAACTTTACCATCAAGTATCTTAACAACACTCTTCCAACTCGTAAAAATCTGCTGAAGTGGAACCTTAGTCAAACATCTGACTGTGAATTCTGTCTTCTTCCAGAAACACTTCTACACGTTGTTGCTGGATGCAAAGTGTACCTTGACCAAGGCCGCTATACTTGGCGTCATAATTCTGCATCAAACTTTCTAGCCACTTCCTTCCAAGCAATAAACGGGTCTTCTCTCTACGCAGATTTACCAGGCTTTCTTTCCCCTTCTATCATAGCTGGAGATCAACTACGCCCTGACTTACTTCTCAAAACTAAGGAAAACTGTCTGTACGTTTTAGAGCTAACCATAGGCTTTGAAACAAATCTCAACTGCAATGCTGTCAGAAAGTCAGAGAAATATGCCACCCTCGTATCTGACTTAAAACGTCAGTTTAAGTCAGTATCGTTTGTCAATCTTTCCATCAGTTCACTTGGTATTTTTGGCAACTCCTGCAGCTCATTCATCGACATGTGTGACACTTTTTGTCCATTGATCATCAACAGAAACGCTATCTCATCTCCAAACTTACAAGCATCTCCATTCTCACCACATACTATATATTCTGCTGTAGAAACAAAACTTGGACTAATCCAGAGCTACTCCCCTTTTAACATTTTTTTTTTCTTTTCTCATTACTACGATGTAATAGTTTTTATTTTGTAAACACAGGCTAGCCAGTTACAAATTACCTTGTAATAGTGAGATTTGTAATTGTAGTTTTAACTGGAATTCAAAATGAAAAGTTTCCATGTTCTGCCAGGAAAAGCCCTTTTACCACAATATTACAATGACCCATGACTAACATTTGGTTACATAAAGGCAATTTCAAAATCATAGAGCCATGTCATAAAAATACTTTTCCAAAATATCACCCCTCCCCTAAAATTTTCTCACCAAAGTTAGACGAAATACAAAATCATTCTTTCCGAGAAGTGGGAAGACGTGTCCCCAGTGGCGGCGCCAAGGGGTGGTATGGGGGGTAATTACCTCCCCACTTTTCTGAAAATATGGTCTATATACTTTTTCTAAAAATGGATTAAAAAGCGCTGGGTAGGGGTGGATCAAATTTTCCAAGGAAAGGGACGAATCACTGGAACGAGGCAAAATAGGCGTGGTCACACTGGCCACGCCCATTACCCTCCCACTCTGTAATAGCTGGCGCCGCCACTGCGTGTCCCCCCAGTCCCTTCCCGTGGCGCCGATATTGGGACCATGCTTTGATAAAAGTGAGGGAGGAGGTAATGAACACCACCCCTTGGCGCTGCCACAACGCCATTGCGACACAAGTTGCAGACCGATTGTCCCGTGTAATATGTCATTATACGGCTGTGCAAGACAGCTTTTTTTACTCTCGCAACGGTTTCCCGAAATAGGATTCTGTTCTACTTTCTGCAACGATTGCCAGCATTTTTATAGCCATTGAACCAGTTAACATCGATTTTCGCAACTTGCAACACAATCGTTCCGTTGGCGCAAGCGCAGTTCCAACATGGGGACAGACCCTGCCTCGTCAAATCACTGTAAATACGTCTCTGCTCGAAACTCGCTGAGCCATGTTAAAAAAAACGGAATCTGCAATAAACGTCCGAATTTCATATTATATTTTGCCAAATTTCGGCCAATTTACAATCTCCCCTAATCTCGCTCGTGTGTTTAAGGCAACGCCAGGAAAAATTCGAATATAACGGACGAAGGTCATTAATGCATATAAATTAAGTAAAAGGGAAATAGGAAGGATATTTCGTCATTTTGGAAGGAATTTCAAGCAAATATGAAGATATTTTACTAACATGGTTTTCTTCAAGGTCGTTGAGCGAGTAACGATCAGCTTTCTAGGCTCTGCAGAAGTAGGCCAAAAGAAGTAGGCAAAAAGAAATAAACCAAAAGAAGTTGGCCTAAAGAAGTACCCAACTTATGCTCGTCCTCGTCTCACATCATTTTAAAAAAGTCATTCACACTGAATATGCAATAATGAGAGTAAAGCTACTTAAAAAGCATCGAAAATATTTTTGTCATGTTTTGATTTTTAATCAATCGAGGCAGCATATAGAAAGTAAACCAGAAAGTGGACTTTACTTGATGTTAACGTCAGATTTTTACGAATATTTACAACGCCTTATTTCGCTGCATGTCATAATATAAGCTTCAAAAGGACGTATCTGAGAGCCATCTCATTCCCAAAACGCTGATTTGGAAGAAGATACAAGCGAACTACAGATTCGCTCACTCGCATTTTAACTTCACAGAAATAAATAGCTGACTTCTTATTCATTGGGCTTGTTCGCGCAAATGTTTAAAGGTTCGATAAATTTTACACCACTCCCGCCAATTCGTACCCTCCAACAACTATAGCCGGATTTTGCAAGTTCTTTCGTGGCTTCATTCTCCATCTCAGGCTGACCTACAAAAGGATTTTGAGATTTCATCAGTAAATGAAGATGATTTAAACAATCTCAAGCTTACAAAATACTACATTGCAATGCAATTTGCTAAAAAAATAGGCATCGTGGTTAATTTCTCGGGTTGGTTTCGTTCGTTTCAATATTCGCGTTTGTTTACAATCAATTATACTTTAATTATGAACAATATAACGAAATATATAGCGTCAATGAAGAGTCTGTAGCACAGATGAGCTACAAGAGAGTGCAGGGGGGGGGGGCGAAATAAGGCACGGCTTTGATGGGGAATGCGACTCTCATCCTGAAAAACCGCGATGACAGTGCAAAAATCTGCCATCGCATTCATTGAAGAGAAAATATATCAACCAACAAAAGGCGTTGATTGCCTTCGTTTTTCTGAAACAAAATGTCGCGAATCTTTTAGTGCAGCTTTCAGCGCGATTTCTACCCAATCATTCCTACGATCCGCGCAAAAAATGGTGGGTGAAATGTTGGATCATTTGACCAGGGCAGGGAAATTTTGTAAGCAATCTAGCAAACAAGGTAACCAAGATTTTCCCTTTTGACAGAAAATTCTGGTGGATCTTTGACTCAAAATCCGTCCGAGGCCATGAAATTAGGGGGCCGGTGGTCACGTGATCAAACATTTCATTGTTCCCGGTCATCGAAAATTGTTTTTCATATAATCTTAGAACCAATTGTATCGTTCGCAAGAACATTCAAAGATGAACACAAAACCATAACAAACCTATGTTGTTAAATAAACCTGTCAAAAGATATGACCTCTTAAAATATTGCAAAAATGACGTCATCAAACGAGAACAAAATCTTTACCATGTCTTTTCTCGCTTACTTCTCATTGTTTTGACAAGTGCTAGATCTCAAAATGGCACAGGATTACTTTGTGGAGACAATCGAACTTTTTCGATAAGAAAAATTCATATTTGTTGCATCTTTTGACTCCACAATCATTTCAATTGAAGAAAATGATTTTTGCTTGGTGCAAAATACGGTTAAACTCACGGTTTGTTCTTTTTGGAAAACTCGGTAATGATGGACGAAGCTAGGATGTTAAATAGACGCATCCACTAGGCTATAGCAACAGAACTGAAACAGCTAACAACTGACTGATGCATCGTGGAGGCCCTTAGAAGGGCACAAATATTGGGCAAGGCCATGTAGCAACCCCCAATCTTTACTAAATTGGGTTGGCTGAAGAAACGTGGTCCATAGAATAAGTTTTATGGATTAAATTCTTGATCCAAAAAGTAATTTTGCAGAAGCTTGTTGGAGAAGGATGACACAATAGTTTTACTTTATCTGAATATCTTTTTGTTCTAGTTGACATCTTGTATGCTGTTTACAAGAGTGAATTGTCTCTAAATCTTTCCAGAAACCATTTTCTCTCGCCTTCAAATACCGCCTAATCAAGTTGGAAGTACTTCATGTGAGAGTTTTCAAAACCTCCCAGACAAGCGAGTTACTCCGTATATTTTGCAATATCCTGTGACTCAGCTCCATATAAAAAGCACCTAAATGGTTCTGCCAATTGTTCTGAAGTTGGAGTGACAAATTCTCACGAAGTTAAGTGGTTATTGAGCGTTATAACCGCAAGGGGGGACATAGTTTGATTAAGGTAGAATCCTCGTTAACAAACATCATTTGATAATAGCTTATTGCTCGCATTGCCAGTTTTAATAAAATTGGTTTTTCGACATTGCAATGCTCTATTCATCTATGCATTTATTAACAGAAACGTAATTTTTAGTCTATGTTGTTGTTACAAATTTTCCTCGTGCCAGAATTTTCCAGAATAGGATTTTTCCACACCAGAAATAGCGAGCACATTTAATTATTAAGAATAAATATTAGCTTCCTGGTAAGCTCACAACTTTAGGGCTTGAATAGCTGAGTTTCTAATATTGCAACTTAAAAGATTTCTCGGTTTTATGCTTGGGGAGGTGTACTTAATGCCAATTGTTCCAAAAAGTAGATTGTAAGTTCCCGGACTCTTTGTCTCCCATAATTTTGCCTCTCCAATATTGCAGTCATGTTTACACCATTGGTTTTATTCAGCAGTTAGTCTCAGAAACGTCCACTTTTCCCATCCAGGATGAACAAAAATTGTCAGAAAAATCTATATATACATCTAATCGATCACTAAAGCTTGGAAACCATGGTCCAGAATCCACTGGCGCAGAACTTTGGAACAAAAGTTTGAGACACCCCCTAATTTGAATCCATAAAATTGCGCCTCTACATCTATAGCAGCAAAACCTTGACATGACGAGAAGCCGTTACGATACACGAAACAAGTAAAAAATTGCGAATAGCATGGAGAATTCCTTTTAACGGCCTTTGAAATTACAGTTTTTGACGAAAGGATGTTAGAAAAGACATGTGTAAATCGTATAAATAAAATTAATTCTTAAAGTATCTAAAAAATTGTCGTTATGTTTGTGTTCGCAGTATTCAGAAGACGCATTCATGAAAAAATATTCTACCGTCCTATTTTGTCAGAAAAATAAACAGTGAAGTGCGCCGGTGATTTTAGCTTCTTCAAGATTTTAATTTGCTAACCTGGTTTGACCAGTGCGAAAACACACCCTCCTCCACCTGCTCCAGTTAGTTTTCCCTTTAGGCCAAAACGGCGCAAAATCATCAGAATTGATTCAATCGAATCATGGCTAACGCCGATAGAACGAAGAATGTTTTGGTTTATGTCGACCATGTCCTGAAAGAAAGCAGAAAATTAAATAACGAAACTTTTGAGTCATAACAATCTGATAACAATAATTAAGAAACCTTTTCATTTTCCGCTGCAAAGATTACAGAAAAGTTTTAGAGGGGTGGGAAAGGGGGTTCGGGGCTTGTGAATGGTACTTGGCCTGGTACTTAGACCACGGTAACAACTTACGTTTCAAAGTATAACTTAAAGGAGGCGGTATCGTCAATACGAGGTTTAAACATAATTAGAAAACAAATGGTTCATTGTATTTTGTAAATGTGCTATCAAACCCAAGATTTACGGAAGACCTTTTCCTCATCTTTTTTCATGATAAACAGATGAAAATATGAGGATGGCTGCAGCAGGACCGCACTCACACCGCAGGCACAACCGCATATATCCCGCATTATTGAAACTGCTATCTCTGAAAAACCCAGGACATCAGGAATAAGCTTTGATGAAATGAAAAAAGCTTCATTTAAAAACCGCTAATAATACATTTGAAAATACCGAAATTCGATCCATTATTTGAATGCATTTCTCGTAGTTCTTTTCGGATTGCATTGCTAGAAGGGAAAGACGAAAATTAACCAATGTAAACATTGTTAGGATTAACAAACGTAAACATTGTTACGATCAGCATTTTGTTAGGATGAAGGAAAAGTGAGTTCAGAAAATGGTTGATTTTGTAGATTTAGTGTTGCTTAAAGCATTGTGAAAAGATACCGTGTCGGATATTCAAAATGGATATGTACAGCGAAGTCATCTGATTGCTCAGTCTTTCGGTTTAGAGTTTCCAATTTCAGACTTCTATCCTTAATTGTAAGTATAGCCATATGCAAAAGAAACGTCGTTGCTTTCTGTTTAGTGGGGGGGGGGGGCATATCTAGCTACATTGCTGACTAAAGGGCGTAGAAATTGTGCTATTGAGGGCGCAAAAAGGCAAGTTTTCGTTAAAATATTTACAACAGGATCATGTTTGACTGAAAAACTGTGATAAATTTTCTTCTCTGACCTTTTGTAGATGAGAGAATTTTGAAAATTAGAATGGAAGAAATTGACGGTTTATCCGACAAAACCCCAAATTTCAGACGGGATGAATTTTGGGGAAGGGGGTCGACCTCCCTCCCCCTCCTACGATATTATTGCATCTCTTCTCATAGTTCATCATCTTTCAGCAATTTGTTTTATGCAATTATATGTAGGTAGGCAATAGTTTTATGAGGCGAGAAACATGCAAAATGCATTCAGTGAATCACTTGTAAGAAATATTTTGAATCATTGCAAGAAAGAACCTACGTTTTCAAGGACTTAATTGTCTTGAACTTCAAACTAATTGGCTGTTACTTTCAGTCTCTTGTTTTTAAAAATAGAGACACAATATGACACAATAAATGTGACTGTTAATACTTAGAGAATTGCTTTCAAAATAGTTCATCATCTGATTTCAGCACTCGAGTCGGCATCCATTTTGATTTTCTGTACAATCTCAGTTTAACAGTCACTGGCTTCTTTCTTGACGAAAAAGTTTATTAGCCTCCATTTCAAGACAGTAATCAATTGTCTCGTTCGAGAAACAGCGGCTAACATCAGATTTTTATCGGAAAGAGTATTATTAAAATTCCCTGTGAAACTTGCTTTAAGCTCAACGCTTAGGCCTGGTTCAAACGTCGCGCTTCTCATGTGCCGAACCTAACTCGAGAATTGAGTACATGAGGGGCGCGACGTTTGAATCAATTTGGTACGGCAGATTTAGTTAGGAGCGGCAGACTAGTTTGGATAGGCAGAGCTTGCCGAGCTGCACGGCTCCAGCACGGCACGGTTTCAAGCGTCGATCTTGTCATGTACCGAACTCAATGCATAACTATATTTGATTTATTTTCCTTCCCGGAGTTCATTTCTTTCTTGGAGGGCGCATGCGTTTCAAACAAATATTTGAGATTGCGCGCCTTAACCAAGATACTTCATGTAACAATCCTAAAACCCATTTGGCTCGACATAATTAAGTTCGAGGTTTGAAACGGGAGTCGCGCTAAACATGCTCAAGTGTCGCTCCAAACAGAGTTAGGTTCGGCACATGAGAAGTGCGACGTTTGGCCTTAGATGCTGAGCTATGTGTCATCAAGACTCGAAATATCGTAATGCATCTCTACTACAACAATTAACGACCAGAAAATCATTTTGGTACTCTCCTATTCGCCCATTCTTTGATATTCCACTATTTAAATTTGGTAAATATATTGCTTTTGCTTATCATAAAATTGCCAGGAGCTAACTAAGTCCCTTTTAAAAAACCCCCTTGAGCCTCCAAGCACCCTCGTAACTACCTATGATTTTGGCTCAACATCTTTTAACTCTTTCTTTAAGCAACAGATATACTGATTTGCCTCACTTACCATCCTCAAGCGCCAACAAATTAGACTTTGATTCTTGAACCAAGCATTCGATGGCATCAAACAAGGCATCGTATACTCGAGGCATCTGTTTGGCAGAAAAATTAACTTTAGAATACTACCAAGCAACCGATCAACAACAGCAACATCATGATGAATTCCTTTCTCTGAAGATGCATCACAGCTATATACAATGTCAGATATTACATTTTACAAAAAGTGTAAAAAGAGGCGAGCATAGAACTCCTGCTATGGATAACTGAAGGAACCAACCCCCCCCCCCCCAAATTGCTAAAATCGACTTGGATTTTCCCATAGATCTTTACATAGATTTATATACAACAATATAAATATTACATCAATATTTAATTTGCCAAGTAATGGTATATCATCCTGATTAGTATATTATTCTATACTTCTCAAGAAATAAATTATATCGGAAGACCTTTCTTGTTTCCTACATCAGCTGAGATAATCTTATAAGATTTTTATTGAAAATCCCCAGTCCAAACCAGTGTCATCTAAAACTTCAGTTTCCAAAGGACTTGTCGAGTAATCCCAGGGGTCATCATTGAAATTTCGTTCAAAGACCTCATCTTGTTTATATTAGCTCAGCTTGTTTAGATCATTTATCGTGGTATTTGATTGTTCTTTGTAATATTTTTCATCGCTCCTTATCATACTTTCATTTACATCATAACGGTCTTATTATTACAATGGATCTTTTACATAACAAAACAATCTCCTAATAGGCCGCGTAGAGCATTAATTAATAAAACAAAAAATTGGCTTTTAGTTTTACCACTTCAGTTAAGATACGTTTTCAAACTTTTTCTCCTTCCTTATAAATAAATACACAAACGTTAAGACCAAAATGCAGTATTTTTTTTATCCTTTTTTTCACTTCTAGTTAACACCAGTTTTCTTAAAAATATTTTGCGAGGCCTACACAGTTCGAGAAGTTCTGACACTGAAGTGTAACATTACAGGAAGATTTCCTTGAATATCAAAAAAGAACATTAGAAATTTTATTCGATATTTACTCCAGTCATACAGTTTCTGTTGAATTACAATAGATCTAAATAGGAATAAAAATTCTAGAATTTCGCCCACTTAAAATAATGCTCCCTGCATAGATGGAATGTCCAAGATGCAAAATGGACATTGAAAGTCATAATGTTGGAGGAGAATCATACTTTTGGTTAATACCTAGAGATTCATACCTTTTCACGACGATCTCTGACACCCTTCACCAAATCCTTCGTACTCCTTGGCACCTTAGAGTAGACTAACAGAATCTCCAAATGCGGTGACCTACAAAAACAAAAAAGTCAAAAAATCGCAAAATATTAAACAGTAGCGACTGTTTAATCAAGCATCACGTTAAATAAACCACGATTGCAAGGCAAACTCGAAAAGATCTTGCACGAAAAGATCTTAACACGTGCAAAAATTGGCCAAAAACTTCATGCCATTGCATCAGTTACAAAATTCACATAACAAAGACAGTTATAAATGCCTTTATATGGTCTCAATTTAACTATTGTCCTTTATTCTGGATGGTTAATTATAGAAAAGTGAGCAACGAAATCAATAAAATCCACGAACGAGCTTAAGGTTACAGCTGCTAGCTATAGAAAATTATAAGACCGAAAAAGATTTGAATCCCAAATTCGTGCCTGAAACTTGGAACACTCTGGAATCGATTGTATATTTCTGAAAATTAACGGTTTCCAGCTTGCTGTTTGGCTAAAATGTTTATAACTTAAATCGTTCGATAAACAACATTGAATGAAGTTTAAAGGCAATCTGTCTCGTTGTGGATTGGTTAACGAGAACAATAGCTGGAACAATAGCCTAAACACGATTCCAGCGCTCCGCCATATTTTTTACAATGCGATAAATTAAAGGGGGACTGGAACAATAAAAATCCCTTTGTTCTTATAACCAATCAATGTCGTGACAGATTGTCTTTAACCTCTGAAACTGTTGCCATTAAACAATGTTCCAAGAGAAAGAGGGGGAAGCTTTGGTAAACATTTCGTTTGGCAAAAGGACATAGAGATGGATTGTGCGTATTTTATCACTGGGCGTGGCTGCCGGTAAAAGTAATGAACGCTCATGACGTGGTTGGCGGCTGCTGACACACACTGTTACGGCTATGTGTGAACACTTTAGTCTGAGGAAGCCTGAGGTAGCCATCTTGGCAGCAGCCACAGGCAGTTACGGCTAAATATAAACACTTTAGTCTGAGAAAGTCTGAGGTAGCCATCCCGGCAGCAGTCGCAGGCAGTTACGGCTATATGTGAACACTCTAGTCTGAGGAATCCTGAGGTAGCCATCCCGGCAGTAGCCGCAGGCAGTTACGGCCATATGTGAACACTCTAGTCTGAGAAAGCCTGAGGTAGCCATCCCGGCAGTAGCCGCAGGCAGTTACGGCTAGATGTGAACACTTTAGTTTGAGGGAGCCTGAGGTAGCCATCCCGGCAGTAGCCGCAGGCAGTTACGGCTATATGTGAACACTTTAGTTTGAGGGAGCCTGAGGTAGCCCATACCCGCGCAAGCAGCCTCGCAGGTCAGTTGTATACGTGCTATATGTGACAGCTACTTTTAAGTTTGAAGGAGCTCCTGAGATTATGCATCGATCGCTCGACAGCAAGTCCGGCGTAGGTCAGTTACCGGAACTATAATGTGAAAAAACGATGTTTAGAATAACTCTAAGTCTGAGGAAGAAAAGCCTGAGGTAGCCATCCCGGCAGCAGCCGCAGGCAGTTACGGCCATATGTGAACACTCTAGTCTGAGAAAGCCTGAGGTAGCCAACCCGGCAGCAGCCGCAGGCAGTTACGGCTATATGTGAACACTTTAGTCTGAGAAAGCCTGAGGTAGCCATCCCGGCAGCAGCCGCAGGCAGTTACGGCCATATGTGAACACTCTAGTCTGAGAAAGCCTGAGGTAGCCAACCCGGCAGCAGCCGCAGGCAGTTACGGCTGCATGTAAACACTCTAGTCTGAGGAAGCCTGAGGTAGCCATCCCGGCAGCAGTCGCAGGCAGTTACGGCTATATGTGAACACTCTAGTCTGAGGAAGCCTGAGGTAGCCATCCCGGCAGCAGCCGCAGGCAGTCACGGATACATGTGAACACTCTAGTCTGAGGAAGCCTGACGTAGCCATCCCGGCAGCAGCCGCAGGCATTTACGGCTATATGTATACCAGGCCTAATAGATCTATTGTTAATCTTTGATTAACCTTGCCTTCGTGATACTTTGAAAATAACTGCCTGCGGCAGCCGCAAGTAGAAGTGTCTGCAGGATGATCTATGAACGCTTGGCCATATGGGGTTGCTTTCTCGGAAAATGCAATCTAATATGGCCTAACGCTCTTAGTTCGTTATGTCAAAATTACATTTGCTCTGTCTGCAGCAGACTGCTTATCGAAGAGCAGAAGGAGCCCCCCTCATTAACTGCTAGACGTATCTTTAATTTTCTGTATCCCATAAAAGCAAAGCCTACCAAATCTAGGTACTTGGAATAGGAAATGACTAACTTGTTAGGGTAAATGCAAAACTAAGCAACTATAAACAGTAAGTGTTTGATAAAAACGGCAATCAAATGTGATATCAACAACGAAAACGAGTAAATGGCTCAAAAGTATATGAGTCTTTTCAAAAGTAATAGAAGAAGGTGGTTTTCTAGGGGTGCTTTTCAGGCAGGCATTCAGACAAGACATTAGACGATATGCGCATGAAAAAAATATCAAAAAAGGTGAAAATCAACATTTCTTTCGATGCAATAGAAAGACATAAGATATTCCAGTAACAGGAGATTGGGCTAGGGGTTGCACCCCATCAAAAATTCGCAAATTTCCATAGATAACTATACTACGATGAAAACATTCTAAAGGGTTGAAATAATTTCCATGCTTTTTAAGCGTCTAAAGTTACAGCCGTAGCATAATTACGTGAACTAAGACTCGATGTTTAGAATCACGTTTTGTTTGTAAGCGGATTCAGTGTTTATGTTCCGTGGTAGCAAAATGGCTTCTTTAATTTGTCAATGTAAAAGGCAATTAATTATAGATTACAATAAGAACCTTCCTTGCAACATTATGAAGATCCAAGGAAATCCGGGAGTGTGGGGAGGGCATAGGCAAATAATTCTTAAAAATTCTTAATAATTCTTAAAATATACCTCAACCAATAGAATTGGTCATCTTGTCCCATCAATACATATTATAACCCCCCCCCCCCCCAGTGATAATCTTCGCTGTTCTTATCTAGGTTCATTCATTTCAAACTTTGATACATCATGAAATGATCAAGTTATGAGGTGATGATCACTTTTAAAGAAGAATTAATATAAAGTCATACATACCACGGTAGATTCGTTATCACGCCTTTCTTAAAGGAAACTAAGCCTCCTGTAAGAAAGGAATGGGTTTATTGTCAATATGTTGGTTATTATCATCGTCGCTATTGGCACAAATCCAATCAGTAATTTCCAGTTAAAACAGGGTTGGCGAAACCGGGGGGAGGGGGCGAGGAGCCATGCAAAGCAAAAAAAAATGTTTAGGCAAAAGTGGAAAGAACTGTAGTGTATCATTTTGTAAGTAACTGTGCCTAGTTTTCCCATAAACATGCTCTTAGTTTTAGCTTGGTTGCTATGTCTTTACCATGGAAGACACATATAAAATTGAATATTGGAATTTGATCGGATAAATCGGTCATCGTCCAAGTTCTAAAACGAGTAACAGCTTGGATTAGGATATAGACCCAGAAACCCGATCCAGAATAATTTGTGACAGCACAAATTGACGGAGTTTCGTTTTTTCTATGGCCTAAGCCTGGCTCACAAGGTCTATTCGAAAAATTTCTCAGAAACATTTTATTTCCGAAAAAATTAAGATCAGATGTTATCAAATAACATCCCAACTGTACAAAAATACCTAATCTTTTCTTTTTGGTGAAAGTTCACTTGATATTTTATTGTTTATGTTTTTAATTAAACCGTGATTCATTTATCTTTCACCTGTGTGTTATTCTGGGTACTTTTAAATCTGAAAAAAGTGTCATTGTGAGCTATATTATGAAAATTGTTCTAAAACATTGCAAAACCTTTCCTATTTCAAGTCAACATTACAAGAGACCACACTATGGGACATATAGATTAAACAAAGCTTGAATATATTGCCTCGGATTTTCCTTAAGTCAAAATCCATTTTGGATACAGTTTCTGACCATCTCTAAAATACAATAATTCTGAAAATTTTCTTGCTGCCAACCGTGATGGCGGCCTTTCCAAAGCCCTTTAAAAACTATTTTGGCCCCTCCACTTTCAAATACGTTTCACCAGCCCTGTAAAAACAAGGAAAAAGGAATTCTTGATGAAATTTAAACCGACCAAATTACACAAGAAATTCAATACAACAAGTTCAGTAAATTGCCAAAAATGATTTGCATACATTTTAAAACATACATAAGCAATACAAATTCAGGGTTTTAAGCAACTTACCAAATGTAACAACAGAATTATCAATCCCAGATGGGGTGCCATGCAGGATTTTTTCACCCTCAAATGCCCATGAATTAACCAGTTGCAAATCACTTTGAGAGATGTCCTTTTGTTGATGACTGTCTGTGGATATGACGCAGCAAAGAGCCAAGAATGCACAAGAGAGTGAAACACAGACACTGGCAGAAGAGCCCAATCCTGCACCAAGGGGTAGTTCTGAGCTTATATTGATCACCAAACCATTTCCACTAAAAATTGATTTGTAATTATATAATAATCAGAGGTTATCATTCAGGCCTGGTCATAAGACTTTAGCAGAGGAGCAGCAAACAGCCCTCCTAGTAATTTTCTGGTCAGCTCTTTGTAGGTAAATACGAATATATCTTAATCTAGATATCTTAAGTCTTAAATACATCTTAGATATAATAGATCTTATATACGAAATGAATTGATAAAACTGTTTTCGAGGAGATCAATTTGCTTTTAAGAGCAATTTTAAGCATTTTAAATTAGGCTTAGGGAAGAATTTTTTGCTCATCTCCAACATAGAGGGGAACAAGAGCTATATCTCCCCCCAAATGACCAGGCCTGGTTACCAAGCAACAAAAAGATATGAGACATTGTTAATATCATACAGTCAATAGGTCATCTAAAGCAAATAAAGCTCTTTGAGTTTAATAGATATATGTGAATATAAAACATTGGTTGATAATAAAGAAGAAAAACGTATTAAACAGAGCAAGCAGAGCAAAATGACATCAGTTTTTCTTCCCGCTTTTACCTTCCTAATTGCCATAATTAGGTATCAGTTATTGCTAGGTGGAAATTCACCAAAGTCCAAATAATTGCTTGCACAAGGGCTGTAACAATTTTGCCAATTTGCCAACTTTTTTAGAGCTTAAAGCATAGCCAAAATTCTTCACATTGAATAAAAAAGGCAAAAATTAAAAAAGTACCTGCCTTTCAGGAACTTTGAGCAAATGGCAAGATAATAAAACATGCACACAAGATACAACTTTGCCTCCACACTTGCATCATCTTCTGCTCCAATCAACTTCTGGAGATCCTTTAACTGCTCTTCATCAAAAGATCTTGGTTTAGATACATCATCTACAAAAGCTGCAACAAGAATGTCATGAAGGTTTCACACCCTTTCAAGATTATTTCTACCTCAGGACATGTAACTAGATTTTGATAATGGCTTTGAAAAAAGCAAACATTTTATAACATATTGGCTAAAAGCTTTTTTGTCTGACACTCCTCAGAACATAAAACGTCAGAATAAGGCACATAGCACTAATTGGACAACTATACCGGTCTTGTTTTTGTGTTTTTCTGATTGGCCACAACGTATATATTTTATATTGTATTCTTTTGGACCCTTATTCTGACCTTTTATGCTCTGAAGAGTGCCAGACAAAAAAGCTTTTAGCCAATACGTTATAAAACGCTTGCTTTTTCAAAGCCATTTTCTTTCTGCCAAAAACTGTACTGCCAAAAACTGTAACTAGATTTTCAAATAAAACAAGCACTTATTGTCAGCTGTAAAAGTTTGGTTGCAGCCAAACAGTCATGTCTTAGACAAAACCTATACAAAATAATGTTACAGATTGCAATTTTATCAAAAATGGGTCAACAATTAAAATCTTATTTTAATAGCCCAAGTGATAAAGACATGATCAATTACTTAAAAACTTTGCAATTCAGTTTGAGAAAGCTTTAAAACCATTAGTCACTGCTTAAAGTGCCTGTGACATGATTTTTTTTATTCTCTTAATTGAAGCATTGCACTGCTCTTATAGTAGATCTGCACTTTTTTTTAAATAAAAGTGTTTTGATATTGAAATTAAGCAAAATAGTGCGGCCTAGCCAAGTCGCTTTATCATCATTCGCCATTCTCTTGTGACGTCATGGGAGGAACTCGTTATTGTAATAATGCAAGCGCTACCTTTAAAAATCTCATCCTCGCTGCCACTACTTTCTCTGGAAATATCGTTCATCTCGGACCTGTTAGTTTTCCCTCATTGACTACGATACAAAAACTCGAAGGAGGAGGCGACCGGGTCCCTCCCGTGATGTCACTGCCTACTCATTCTGAAAACCAAGATGGCGAATTTTGGCGAAGAAGATCACCAATAACTCCTTCATTTCTCACGAAACGTGAAAACTAACCTCAGAAATGAAAATAACAGGCCTTTTTACATAAGAATAGATATATAAACCCAAAAGTACGAAAATCATGTCACAGGCACTTTAACATGCCTAAAAACAAAGGCTACTTTTATGAAGCCTAAAACCTAACCCATCCTTAATAAGGTACAGAACTATATATTAATCCTGGCTGGCCAGAATAAAATGTGCAATCATCCCTGTGGTCAGAAAATTTAGATAGCAATTGATCATGAGAAACAGTTACTACAATAGCAGTTATTGTATATATGGAAATTGAAAAATTTATTCACCTTGCCATTTTAAGAAAGCTGATAGTTCAAAACTCTTTTCATTTGTTTTGTTGTCAGATGTTGCTCTGATTGTGATCAAATTTGAAGAATCCGAAACTTCTAGCAAACATGTAACTCGCTTTTCAATTGAGCATGCAATTGCTTCCTACAAAAAACAAGATAAGAATGTACAAAATTAAGACCAGCTATGTTCAATTGAAAGACATTTTGTAAACTGTATACAATGGTTGTATCTTTGAGGAAGATTGTAAATAGTCCAGTGATCTGTTTCGTGTTTAAGTCAAGATAACAGTAAAAAAGTTGATATTAGAGAACACAATTTAATATTAGCATCAAACATAAAAACTGAACAACATCAAGACAAACAAACCATGTTATAAACACCTGAAAAACATGCAACAGAAGTATACAAAAGGTTCTTTTCTTATAGCTATTTATTGAGCACAATGCAACAATCAAAGGCGATAAGTCTTTTTGTTAGTGAATAAGTGGTACCGCAGCTCTTTGTTAGTCAATAACCGGTACCGCAGCGGTATACACAACAACAACAACAATGTAATGATAGACCATTTCATCTCCACCTGGATGCACATTTCAACTCTCTGCTGTGCACTTTCTTCCTTTGTTTAACTGTTTGTGATAGAGTGGTAGGTGCTGTATAGAAAAAGCACTAATGCCCTTAAGTTTGTAGAAAAATTTACAGATTTGAGCTGCCATGTTTTTCACACTAAAGCTTCATATGGTAGATGGAAGAAAATTGTTCATGAAATTTTAAAGTTCAGTAGAAAAAAGTGAAAGCTGCCCATTTTTGAAAACTCTTGCACAGCAAACATACCTTGAAAATATGAAGGAGCTTAATATCTAAAATCCAGTCTGCAGATCATTACCTTTTTCAAGAAATCTCAAGTAATGCAACCAAACCTTTGAGTTTGCAAGTAGTATTTTTGTCTGCACTTAAGTATGCATACAGTTATGTGAAATTTGGTTTTAGTTTGCTTAAAAACACAAGTCTAGTGCATTGATGATGTCTTTAAATTGATGTAGTTCAGTACAAGTAGCAGCTAATGTTACCATGCACGTTTTTGTAACATTTGCAATGAATGACCACACCCTCACTTAAGTATTCCCAGCAAAACAACAAAAACTATATCGAGGGTGCAACTGCCCAATTCTGCAGACCTGCCTTTTAGATTATTATTCCGAAAAATTTGCCTCTTACCTGTTGCAAGTATATCTAGTAATTTGTTATTTAAACAATCTTTTGGTGGTACAAAACTTGTAAATGGCTTTGAAAAAAGCAAACATTTAATAAACTAAAGCTTTTCGTCTGACACTCTTCAGAGTTTAAAATGTCAGAACATAGATCAAAAACTCTACGCTAGGAAATATATATACCCAGTTGTGGATTGAAATAGGCCAATCAGAAACACGAGCACGACTGTATAGGTTGACCAATCAGTGCCGCTTGCCTATTGATAATGTTACCAATGGAGTCCTAAGGTGAAAACGAACTCCTTTTGTCTACACAGTAGCGGTTTTTTCGTGCTTATGTAGATAGATTCCAAAACTGCTAGGTGGAACAACGATCGGGCCTTTGTGTATAATATTTTTATTTTTTAACCTGGCACTTTGCTTTTCAGGAAAACTTTAAAACGTACATGTTGTAGGATCAGCAAAAATAACCCAGAAAACGTGAAAATGTCTGTATATTGGCAAGGCCTGTCAGGAAGTTAATGAAAGATTCTTTGTTGTTGAAGGAGTAATTGAAAAATTTCATTTGATGTGTACAATGCAGTAAAATTTCTTCATTTCATTTCATATATTTGAGGAGGGTAACCCTTAGCAATGCTGATTTTCCAGGGGCCCTCCACTAAAAAAGCTCACAGAAATTGTTAAAGTTCAAAAAATTAATTATTGCAATTACAATTCAATATATACATGATACAATAAAACCCTACCTGCATAATAAACATCCATGAAAAAAGACAAATTGGTTAACACCTAAGCTGTTCACAATTTTTAAAGTTTCTCATATCCATGGAAGACGTTAAAGTTTTCTCATACACAAAAAGTGGTTCAGGCGACTTGAAAGGATATTTTATTTCAGTTCATCTGTTTATCTTTAATAAAGACATAAAATTTTAATGTCACAATATTTATTCTACTAGAGGATATTTGGAAGTGTGCTTGTTTCTGCCTTTCTTGCAAAAAAGGAATGAAATAGGCCAAAAACTTAGCTTGCAATGCATGCTGATTAAAAAGAGCAATTTTCACCAAACCATATAACTAAAAGTTACTGATGATCGCATGGCTACTCAGCTTAAAAAACTCATCATTAACATCAATACCTTGCCATAAACAACTGCATGTTCTCCGTGAAGGATGACTTTCCCTGGAGCACTAACTCCAACTCTTCGTCTCATTTCTTTCCGCGCCAACCAGCCCCTGCCTGAAATCGAGGCCAGATCACTGTAGTCACTCCCCACTCTCCTCCCATTGAACCACGATTTATGATTGATTTTCATGGTTCCAAGTTGACGTCACCGAATTTGTTTCTCTCTGTCTAAAGTAAAGATTACTATAAAAATCGACTTCAGATTTGAAATCCTCATGCTGAATAAAAAGACTTCATCGTTTGGTTCGAGTAGTTTTACTATGTTTTGAACATTCAGATATTTCTAAAGATTTGATCGCAACTTGCTGCTGCAGTGAATTCCACAGTGAAATATACAGGAAAATATAATTTTGATTTCACGACGTATTTCACGGCCCCAAACAACATGAAATTCTCGGTATAAACCATTTTAACAGGAAGATTCCAGTTCCATGATCCATTATTGGCATTGGCGTAGCGAAGGCTACACGTTGGGGGGGGGGGGGGGCTAAGGGGTTTTTCCCAAATATTGTTGATTCATTAGTGTAGAATTGTGCGAATGTGCGCTATTTATTCGATAGATTTTGCTTGACTAGTGGGGGGGGGGAGGGTTATCCTGGGTACCAGACTCACTTTATATAAATAGGGAGGGCATATAAAAAACATAGGTTTACTAATATCATTTGACTTTTCATTTTTATGCTCCAACAACATTTTTTATCTAGATCTTTTTTCAACAACCTTCCTTACGCCAGTGCCCGCTGGGCCGTGATGTTTCCCTGACTCTGCGGAGATCAACAAAAATAACGAGTCTCATATTCTAAAGAGAAGTCCAGGTTGCATGTTATCAGAAATTGAGAAACTTCTTAGTTTGTTGAAAAATTGTTTTTATCGTTTTTTTTAACTGCGATTCAGGAAACAAAATCCCACTGACATCGTCATCCTGTTATAACACCGGAGCATCTTGAATCATTTTACTCAGGCTGTCCTCTCTTGCTATCAATTTTAAACAGGGGAGGGAGTGTGCAAATCGACCCACAACGCATTTGCGAAAACTCATTTTGTTTTTTTAGAAAATAATCCCTTAAACTCTTTAGAAAAACACTGTAAGAAAAATTAAGTGGGCTGTTTGGGAAAAGTGAAACATCCCTTTAAATGTTAGCAATTGCTACTCCGGATCAATGTTTTTAAAACATACAATATTTGTTTTTCTGTGCTGCTAAAGTTTCGTTAAGGACGTTTGAAACAAAAAAGAACGTTTTCTTATTTTGCTAACCTTAAATCCTTGGAAATTTTTTTAACTCTATTTGCCTGGCCTTCATGCACTGGCCAAGTTCTCTTTTTGTAGGAAAAAGTCACACAAAAGAGAAACAAGTAATTTTGTTTTATTCTGACAATTTGCTAAATATAAGCAGGCAATTTTTTTTAATCATAAAGATGCATATAAATTATTCTTAATTTGAAAAATCACGTTTAAATTACAAATGTTACAATATGATACATTCATTGTCTAAAACGCTAGAAAGCATTAACAAAATAAACAGCCCAAATACTTTAATGTATTATTAAATAGTATCTTGATACATAAACAAATCTGCTTCTAATAAAATAAACAAACCCATTATAAAATACAATTTATCGAAAATGAAGTGTTCATGTGCGAAGTATCCTAACTGGAAAATTTCTCTATAGAGTTTCAGTGTGACGTCATCAAAAATCTATTTTTAGAATTTTTTATTCTCTACACCATAATCTGAAAGAAAGGCAAAAAATACCTCTCAATCGGCAAAATTGAGTGGATATCTTAAAATTGGGTGAGATATGGTTAATGAAAGATTTCATGTTTGTCAATGGATTATTGTTCTTCTGGCTTGGTTCTACCCTGGGCGCCAGCGCCACAAAATTTCGAGCAGGGAAATTAAAAATCATGCGGGGAAGCAGAGGAGAACTTATCTTAGAGGAAGGTAGCTTGGTTCATAAAATTTGAACCAAGGCCAAATCAGAGGTGTTTGATAGAGAAAGAGCTTGTGCTCATGTGGCTATATCTCAGCCCATTTGTAACACATTCAGCTTATTTTTCATATTGGTGATATTTTGTAATGCTCTTTTGGGATATATGGTCAAAATTGAAAAATTCTAAATATCGACTATTGTGACGTCACCATCTCGGTACTCCGTTGGTAACAGTTGATACACTTTCACGTGTAACCAGGTTTGCGAAATTTATCTTTTTGTACATATCAAAAAGCACACTACGACTTCTTTTGAAAACATACTAAAACTTCTCCAACAAAGAATCACGAACTTTGTATAAACTATTATAAAAAAACTCTTTCAGCTGCAGAATGTTTGCCCTGGACCCTTTGAGGCCGCAATGGCCTATCGATCGATCAAGAATGGCAGATTATTGATCATGTCAATATTAACCAACCAATACTACCGACAAATACATCACAGGAAAGCGGGAACAAGTAGGATTGCTATTTTCAGACTGGTAACATCAAAGCGATGATTTTCATAGTTTGGTCCAAAGCTCTGTTATAGAAGCAACAAAGAACGTGTAGAGTAATCTTTCTTACAGCAGATATGAAGTTCTGGATGATTGTAAACAGCGTCAAACGGAATCTGTACTCAGGTTTACAGACTTCACTTTGCACGTCAGGAATCGGAAATAAAAATTTACATAGCTCCCAAAAGAAGACGGCCTAAAATTTTCTCTTCAGGGGATATCAAAAACAAGAATTTTTGGAGAAACTATGATATTTTGGAGAAAAATAAATCCATACACTTTAAACTCCGATCTGAATTTAAGGCTAAACTTCCTATGGAAAATTTATCTGTGATACAGGATAATGTTGAACAAACAAATTGTGACGTCCAAACCTTTTTCAGAAAAATTATTACTAACATCTGGCACAGAACACTTTGCTGAAAAAGCAGGTCTGTTTGGGGTTGGACCGGAGGGGTGTACAAGGAGGTAGTCATTCCCAAGTATACGAGGCTGTGTATAACCCTAACGGTATATCGTCAACGAAAATGACACTCCAACCCCCCTTTCCCATAACCACCCTCCGTTCAGTAGAGCAACTGCTCGGACAAGCCTGAGCTTGCATAAATTTAAATAAACACTTCCTTCTCTGCTCTCTTTGCAGCAAAGTTTTCCGAATTCGGCTTTCGTCCGGATTCCCTCATCTCTTCAGGGCCAATTGTCACTGCGTATCAGTTGCTGAGCATGTAGCTGCATGTTTGCGAGCAGGGAACTTTAACAGCATCGAAAATCGTGTGTTGTAATGACCTGTTCGGAGCGACAACGCATATTCCAACTGCCATAATTCCGGGCAGCCCATTTTTCCACTCGAATTTATTAGAATCACACCAAATATACAGAAATTATTATAGATTATGTTTACCTAAAAGAAAAATTTAAATTTAATTAGCACCATTTTCTAAAATAATGTGCAAAATCGCCAAAATTTATTAGATTTAATAAGTTCAAAGTAAGAAACAACAACATACAGAAAAGGAAAACTGCAAGAACCATATTGAACTTAATATTTACGGTAACAGAAAATCTTTTGAAAATCTTAAACTGTTGTAAAAACTGAAAAAACTCTAAAAAGGCTAAAATACAGTTCACTTTCAATTGATAGTTAAATAAGTAGATATCCCTTCAAATAATATTATATTTATATACATGCATGTACACCAGCAATTTTGGGGAATTTATCAATTTGGGAAATTGCCTAATTTATAATGCTAACTTCGGAAAAGTAGCGTTGGAAAGATGGCAATTTATTATTTTCTTGTTGTAAAGAAAAAGTTGGCAAAATTTGGTGATAATCTGAACTGGCAGTTCTCAAGGTCCATCCTCTACATTAAACTATTCACATCAAAGTTGATTTATAATCTAAATTCACTTTTTGCCTGTCTCTTCCAAACCGTATTTAGGTTAGGCTTTGTCATTTTAAAAATGTAAATCTTCGGGTACATAAATAAGCATATAGAAAGAAACCCAGGATTACTTACACAAGGCATGGTAGGTCTTGTGGCAAGTTCTCTCTGACTTCGATTTCCCTCATGACAACTTCGTTTGGCTTGCAGATTTTAAATAGGCGCTAGGAATTATAATACAAAGAAACGTGAGCTCATTTCAGAGTATCTTCAAACCTCAATCAGGAAAACTACATATCACCTAGTTGGTGCAATACAAGATTTCATGAGACATGCTGCATGCAAGATTTAGAGTTTACCAACAAATGATTTTTTGGTACGTTTTAGGACCAGGGACCATTTACATTGATTTGATGGGGGAAAATTATGTACCCATGGGGCCATGTCTCTGGCAGCTTGTAACTGATCTAGTGGATTTTGCACATCAAAATTTTCTTAGCTGATGAAGTTCAAAGTACAGTTTTGACTTAAGAAACAATTCATTAGTGTCCTATGATTCAATGATTTGATAACATCAATTTTCCTTTGTTTTCGGCAAAAAGAACTTCATTGAATGGAGCTATAACCCTAAAAAACTTGACTCAGAACTTGATCTACTAAAAACTATATCTGTGAATAAGAGCTATCAAGAGGATGTTATTGCTACATATATCCAAAGAAAAAGAGAAAAAATTATGTGATGTCATCCGAAATTGCCACTCTGTGATAATAAACAAAATGATGGTGATGGTATAGAAAGTGACAAAAATGGCAATGAAATTGGACTGAATCAAAGCACACTGACCTCTTGTAATGGTCCTTTGCCACCCAAAAGTGCAGCTATGAATCCAAGGGGTATGCAGATCATTGATGCCACAGCTAAAAACCAGCCAAGAATTTCTGCCCAAGCTGGGTATTTATATGTTGTATTGTATGAAACGCCTTGCCATTTGACAAGACTGAAAACAAAAATTGACCCAATGATGATAGGACAGAAATATTTCCAGCATAATGACCACCAAAGGCCTGGCTTTTTGTTTGTCATAGTGAAGACATTGTGACGTAAACGCTCTGAGCCATAGAACCATCCAATGCAGATTGATTCAAAAAGTGCCAAGAACAGAAGCGAAACACCACCTGACTGCCAGTCAAATAAATTCAATACATAAGCTCCAGCCTGTGGAAAGATTAAAAACTTAGTGTAAACATCAGAGCAAAACTCCAAAACTTAGAAGTTTCTAAACAAACAATTTCCAACTGATAACAGTTGAAAAGATATATACATAAACATACACAAGCAATACTGTTATAAACTAACTTCTCAGTGCCTTGGTATTGAAAATTATCAGAATTTGAAGCTCTGCCACTCTGGATTTGAAGCTCTGCTATAAAATGCCTTGCTTTTTTAATAACTAACTAAATTGTGAACACAATATGGTGGAATTGTATAGAAATTGAAAATCCATGAAATAAGAACAGATTTTGCACAATTTTTCATGTCTCTTACTTTAGCTGAACATATATAAAGAAATGAAAAACCTAAAGGAGCCGAAATAAATTTAGTAAATCAAGAAGTTGTAAAATGAAGGTGCACATACCCTGGTTACATTGGATAGCCCAATTAAGTAGCACACAATGGAAGTTATAAGGATAAAGATCTCTTTGTATTTTCTTAGAAGTCTTGGGTATTCATCTGATATACCAGTGACAACACATTCAATCATAGCAAACTGAAAAAGAATAATTTCGATTACTAAATCTTTATTATCAGGAAGAGTCTCTTGGTTTCCATAAAGAGGAGAAGAAACTATGAAATATGTAATGACAGCATGGGTTGACAATTCTAGTGAAAATGTACTCTCTTGGAGGACGACAAGGAGTTCATTCTCTGGTTTCCTGCATGTGGCCCATGGTCTCCTGAAAGGGTACACTGGTGACAGGGGTGGACAATTCAAGTAAAAATGTGGTCACCAGGCTTTTACCCAGTCTAGTGACAAGGGGTATCTCGCAGTTAGAAATTGGTTGTTCCGGGTGCACGGCAGACTGAATTGTCCACCCTTGGACAAGGTGAAGAAATTAATGGTACTTCAGAAAATCAAAAGGAAACACAGTCATCCCAAAAACGAAAGTGAAGGTGAATAAAACTTACCTCACTATCCAGGCCCAATGTCAGCAACATCAGGAAGAACAATATTGCCCATAATGGGGAGACAGGCATCTGTGCAATGCCTTCTGGGTATGCAACAAATGCCAAACCTGGACCTATAACATTGAAATCAACATTAACTTCAGTGATATATTAATGTTTCTTTGAACAGGGAACTGCACAAAACTGTAGGAATTATACAGATTGATATTTTTTCAAACCAGTTGATGGTGAGTTCTTCAAGCATCAAGCCTTTATTTTGAGATTATAATAGATGGGATCTCTTTTATATAAGGTCCTTTCTAGACCTGGTTTATATCACATAAAATGACAGGATGTCATTTTATGGAATAACAAGCAGGAAAAATCCCCTATTATAGGAAATCCAAGTTGCCTCAAAATTGTTAAAAGTGTCTCAACTCTTGTGCCTTTCAAAAAGGTAAAATATGATAGTAATTCAACATTCTTATTCTTATATTCAAAATGTTTCTGTATGATTGCTAAAAAATTGCTATTGAGTTTTTCTGTAAGTTCAGCTGATCTTCATCTGTTATACTGAAGTTAAACTCATTTCTTAGTTACTATAAAGCTCCTAACCTGATGAAGCAACTTTCTCAATTGGTACTTGCAGCTGATGAGACATAGCTCCAATGACACTGAAAATGACAAAGCCAGCAAACACACTTGTGCCACAATTAATGAGTGAAACGGTGACAGCATCCCTGAAAATGTATATTTTTACCATTGAATGTTTTCATTTTAAAATAAAATTGTTAATTTGATTAAAATACAAAATAAACATAACAACAAAGGCTTACACCATGGAAATATAATCATTTTCAACAGAAAGCTATACAGAGAGCAAAGAAAATAAGGAAAATGCAGGAAATATCTGTTGACAAGCGGGTAGATTAAAACTTGATCTCTGGATTCTATTTCATTTAATTGCCATGAACCAGCCAAGACAATATAAAATCAAACAACATTTAGAAAATTAATCCAATTTTAAATACTTGAATCAATTTTGTTGTTAGATGTCTAGTTCATATATTTCCCTAGATTAATAAGATTCAATATGTGCACAGATTCTTTCTAGTATGTACATCATAGACAGAAAACAATATGCTGCAATGAACCTTGTAAATGTGATGGTGGAATTTGATTAAAAAATGTGGTCATGTTTATATCTTTCTCCCAATTAGCCAATAATATACATGACTGCTTCTCTTAGGAAAATGTTTCCCCAACAAAACAAGGAAATTTTTTTTAAGGCACTATTTCCAGTCAGTCAACCATTCAGAGAGAACAAGCTTTGTTGGATGTTTGTGTGTAAGAAATCCCTAAGAAAAAGTGTTTTGATTAACAGAACAAACACCCTTTGATTAGTCTAACCAATTTGAATTGAAATGTTCATTGCAATTTGTGGAGACATATAGCCTTGGAAATATGGGCCGTAAAGTAGTTTGGAACATACCTGAGACAATTGTTGTTGAACTTGTTATAACTGCCCATGGCAACGAGTGAGCCAAAACCAACCCCCAGCGAATAAAATATCTGTGTAGCTGCTTTAACCCATACCTGGAAAAAGTCAACATTTCAATCAATCAATCAAGTTGTGATGAAATGGTAAGATTCAAATTAGGCTAGTAAATTAAGATTTGCAAAACTAGTATGAATTGCTTTAACTCTTTCTTGTTTGAAGATATCAGTTAAGTGCCACATTGATTGAAGTAGTGCTTAACTTGTAAAGATGGTTACTTAACACTTTGTTAGATTTAGCAAACAAAAATATAAAGTTGTCTGATGATCAGCATGTGCTTAAAAATGTGAGTAACAACATCAAATTTATGTCTTTTTAGCATCATTCTTATGTTTATGCTTTCAGATAAACATCAAATGTAGTTGCATTGACAACTAATGACTTTTGTTGAGATCTTTGAAATGTTAAAAATCTTGGGAATCTTTCTAGGAGGATTTACTAAAGGTGGCAACATGTCATTGACTATCATAAACATATGGACCAAGTTTTCGAGTTAGGCAACATCCCATGCAGACCCTTGAGCAACTAATTTCTATAGAAATCACCTAAAGGGTACTTTTGAATATTCAACTGCTTTCAAACTGAAACTGAACATTTAAGTTTGACACCCTTTGTTTCTTTGTACATACTGTTCATGCAGAACCACATTGCCACATATTTCTATTATGAAAAAACATTTTCCATACAACATTTAACTTGTCTTCCTGGTTCACAAGGTTCATCCTATGCCAAAATAACAAACAAAGAGCCTCTACAGTATAATCCGGTTATAACGTACTTTAAGGGACCAGTGTATTAAGTATGCTATATCCGAAGTACCTTGTAACGAGGGTAAGTAAAAATTGACTAAAACCAAGTGCACCTTTTGCCGGGACCAAGCTAGTTGTGAAGCTTTAGCAATTTGATTAATATGACACACAAGATAAGATCATCATTTTAAGAAAATTAAACAAACAAAACTTTGGTCTCTACAGTTTTTTTTCTCAAAATTTATAAAAATGTTGAAAATAAATAGGTTTTTGCCTTCTCATGAAGAATTAGTAGATTTTATATCTTTTCTGGCAAAAGTCCAGAAACAAAGGTCAGGAGAGAAACAAAATATAATTTGTTTAGTACCTCTGGGTCTTTCAGCTTCTCAAAGTCTGGGTTTAGGTAGAATTTGATTCCATCACCTGCTCCTTCTAGAGTTACACCTCTTATAAAAAGTGCAAACAGGACCACATAGGGAAATGTTGCAGTGAAATAGACAACCTAAAACAGAAAGATAGGAAGAAAGAATTCATTAAAGGATATTTTTAAAAGAAACATGTTGGTCTATTTTCACCTATCCGATTTGAAACCTTAATAATATCTAAAAGTCATTGAGATATGGTGCCTGAAAACTGGAAGTCTCGAAACCTGGAGTTATTATCTGGCATACCTAAAACTGACCTCAGAGCCCCTACATGATCCCTATCCCCTTATCATTAGAAGATTATGACTTTAACTGGAATCATTTTGTCTCTGGAAAAAGCACACAGACCTAATTTCTGTTTTCAGGGAAGCATTCCTAATCTATGTCTGAAATACCTTAAGTTTTAACTGAAAAATAAAACTCTGACTCACCTTTCCTGACGATTTAACACCTTTCCACATGCAAAAGTAGACAATAACCCATGCTGCTAGGAGAGTCAATGCAAGCTCCCATTTTATGCCACCAGTATTTCCAATATCATCAGTTAACTCAAGGACATAACGTCTGTTACGAAAAACAAACACTATCAATAACTGTATATTTTTTCCACAGACGTAGAAAGACAAACTGATCTTGGATTCAAAGTATGATGCTGAGCCATGACATTGAACTGTTTGATTGGCATTTAGATCACATGTTTAAAATGATATTAAGAGCACTATGAGAACCAGATTAGCATTAGGGAGATATACATCACAAATCTAGAAACAGCACTTTTGGATTTCTCTACATTGTGGGTCTCAGCCCCCTTCACTCAACACAACACATATGCAAAGGATAAAATTCGAATTTTTTTGGAAAGATGGCATTGTATAATGATGACTCAGCAAAGTGCCTGATAGTTTCATTCTTATTTTGGATCTTAAAACACACTTTTCTTTTTTAAGGTCAGGTAAATATTTTCTTCACATCTTATGGATTTGGATGCTTTACATCTGGTGCTGAATGTAGAAATCAAGGGTGCTTTTGCACTTAATAGAGATGGATCTATGCATCAAAGATCAGTGCTGAAATAAAGGCAAATACTGACTAAAGTAGAGAGGAAAGATTGCCATTAAATAAGCGTGTTTTTAATAAGGATCAAATATAGTGACTAAAAGGGTAAAGTACTCACTCCCAGTACTCTGAGCTTGGGGAAACCCTGGTTGCTGACTCATAGAGGTATTTGCAACTTGCAAACGAACCATTTGCAAGATACTGAGCCTGGTAGTTGATGTCACAAGTAATGTTACCGGTCATATTTAAGACACCATTTGTTGGATGGGTTTTATATGCCCCTTCAACACATCTTGGGGTGTTCCATTTGTTGTTACAATGTCTCCAAGGGACATCAGAACGAAATGACTCAAACAGGTAGTAGAGACACCATGCAATGATGACATTGTAGTAGATACCAACAAGAAGGGAGACAACCAACATTGCATAACCAATACCTGTGAATTCAAAAGTTTTACAAATGTGTTCAATAAAACAAGTTAGGCATCATGAGACATGTTTTTGCTTTAATATGGTGACTGATAAGGGCTCTGTTCAGAACTGAAATGGTTTAGATTTGTTTATATTTTCAACATGGAATAATCAAAATTAAAGAAATCCAAGAACTAAATATGTTTGTTAATGTCATCCTTGCTCTGAAATTCATAAAGTTTTGCTGCCTTGAAAACAGTGGTGGACACCTGGGGCAAGGGGGAGGGGCTGTTGCCCCCTACTACTTTGGAGGACAAAGTTTTTGCTCTAAAACAATGTGAAAAGATGATGTCACCTTATTGAAACAATAGGCTTGCCCTCCCCACCCGTAATATTCCACCAAGTGTCTGCCCCTGCTTGAAATTGGCTTCACAATTTGCACAAATATATGACTTAATGAGAGGTTACTCCTTTTCAATATCTTAATGAATGAAGAAAACCGAATTATGTATATCATAATATTAAATTAACTTCAAAGATTGGAAATTATAAACTTCAACAATACCTGAAAATGCAGGACAAATGGCTTTCCAGCAACTGATAGGACCAAGTTGCAAGTACTGTCCCACTGAAAGCTCCATGAAGAACAGTGGCATGCCACATAAGAAAAGGAAGAGTATGTATGGAAGAAGGAAGGCACCTGAAAGAATAAGTTTTGTACATTAGAATAAATAGGAAATTTAGTATATATATATATAGTAACAGACATTAACAGTGTTTTTGATAATAGTTGTATAAAGACCCCTCTTGAATAAGCCAACCCTTTTATACCATCAGGTTGAAAAAAATCTGCCTATTTATAACAGCCTCTCTGCATTTTTTGTTTTTGAGCAACTATATGTAGTATGGAATGGACAAAGTTTAACTTTGAGCAGTGCATAAGAGGAGCTGAAGATTGTAACTACTGGAGAGGAGTAACGACGAAACTTCTTAATTTAAACAGTCACTGAATGATGATAATGTAGTATCAAATAGTTTCACATAACACCTTCTTAACTATTATTTATTTTATAGATTATTTCTTGGTGTTAAATAAGCTCACCTTTTTAGAAGATTAGAGTTTTGAATGTACAGTACCCCCAGCCCCTCACTTCTATGAGCATTGGTTTGGGACCATGGTGGTTGCTCTGCCTTCAGGGATTAACATTGAAAGCTTTTGCAAATTTATACTACTCTTCTGAACTTAGAATGTTACCAAGGATGAAATAGTTTTTATCCAGGAAATTCATGACAAGAATATCCAAAGGCCCCTGCAATTTCGAAAATACTATTTGAAAGTTTTATAGCCAGTAAAAACAAGTTTTGTTGCATTTTTGGACCCCATCTTGGGAACAATAACATTCTACCTGCACAAGTCACTCCAGTGGCCTGTTTACAGCTGATTTCCAAAAACAAAGGCAAGAGACATGCAGTATGCAAAAAGAAACTGCTTTCAAATTTTGTTTTTTTTCAAGATAACATCGGTAGTACACAAAGCCAGGCCCGAGTCCAATCAAACTGCGATGACTGGCACCCCACAGCAACACCGCTGTCAAATCAATATTGAATGAATTGTGTAAAGAATGCATTTAGCAGGAGTCAACTCAAATATTCAGCAGAAAGTTGTTTCCCTTAAATTATTCAATCCCTTGCTTTGAAAGCTGGGGCATCAGAACAATACCCTCTCCGTTTGGTTAGCGATAACTGAAAAATGGCTCCGTAGTGATTTTGAGGACGTAGTGATTTTGAGTGTTCATGCGGGTTTTTCCCCACGTGTTCTAACACAGCAATAGTTGGCATATATTCAGATTGACTTTGAATAACTCTTTTGAAAAAAGTTATAGCTTGTTTTGCCTTTCATCTTGAAAGCGGAGGTAAAACTTCGGAAGCACCGAACCCAGAATGAGAGATGACAAGGATCAACGGATTATCCATACAATGATCCAACTATCGTTTAAGTAACATCAAATAGCCCATGGATCAACACCGGGGACCTTTGAATCGGCTTACGCTGCATACACTAGCATACTCTAGACTTAGGTTTAATACATCAAAGAAGAAATTTTAGAGCCGCTAGTCTTTGCACCGAAGGTGGGCCTAATTCTGGTTCAGTTTGTCCGTTCGGCTCAGTAGCCTAAAGCTCCGAATGCTAGATCTTATCGCCCTTGCTACATCCTTAATATTATGAACATATCAACGAATGCAAATATGGGATAAATTTGTGAAAATATGTGAAAGATGTGAAAATATGGGATAAATTTCTTTGAAAGAAAATACCGTGAATTTATGAATCATGGCAATGTTTTTGTGGTTCTAGATAAAATGTCGTGTTTTGCCGGTGCCAGCAACTATTAACGAAAATAAATAGAAATGCAAACATTAACCATGTTTGTAGCATCCTTGTCTTTCGTTTCAATGGCCTTAAAGCGGAAGGACATTGTGCCAGTGTCCGATCGATGTGCCAGACTGGTGGAACCACTTAAAACTGAACCCAATACTGTCCTTAGCTTTACACGTGCCTAAATGCCCTTCGCCCTCTCTCTCCTTCAGATCGAGGGTCAACCCATTTCTTCGTGACTTTTTGGTGTCAAAAACCTTTGGCAAAAATTCAACAACTTTTTTGGTACATCAACAAGTATCTTGCTTAACTGTTTATTTATTTGCAAATAAAAATGTCAGCAGTTGTAAAGAGTTCATTCATTCATTTTGTTGATGTTAACGGCTCTGTTTACCCTTTGTTGGACTGGTTGTCAGCTCAATAGAAATGACATTTATCGAATTTATACAAACAAGTGGAATAATAAAACACTATTTGCTTCTTGCATACGAATCGTTGCTTTAGATGGTATCAAGATCTTGATGATATGTAAGTTAAAATTTGAATCTTATAACTAAAGGAAAACGAAATGGGAAATGGATATGTATTCTCTAGGTGTTTCCTTGTCAAAATCCAGTTCTATGTACGCAAGAACTGGCATGACACGAGATGTTGCATGTTTTTACCACCGAAATTATGTCAAGTTCTTGTCCTCATGCCGATGGAAATAACAGTACTTTTTCCCTAGAAACATATTTGGTTTCTGATGATGAACGTATCGAATGTACCTTTATACTTACATTATTATAAACAGAAAGCTCAAATCTAACCGAAAAAAGAAGAGATTTTTTCATTCAGTCTTTCATTCAACCAACGGATCTAAAGTCAAAGCAATTCCATTCATAATTTTTGAATCAGATAATTAGACTGACACATCGGAAGCGTGGGCAAAATTTTCTCAATATAAACAAAAGCACGCTATAAAAACTTTACTGAAATATGCGAACCGGGAATAACGCCAAATAACTCACCTCCTCCGTTCTCGTAAGCAAGATACGGAAACCTCCATACATTTCCGAGACCAACAGCATAGCCAATGCAAGAGAGCATAAAGTCAAGTTTGCGTCCCCACTGCTCTCTCTCCTCGATATCTTCTTCTTTCTTTACACCTTTCTCATTCATTACCGCAACACTACCGCGGTCGTTTAATTCAATCTTCTCCTCCATCTTCAAAGCTCCGTGATAACTTCTCGATTGAAAACTAAATAAATTTATCGGACAGCGGCCTAAAGTATGCTGCGAGAAATCAAGCTGCGAGAAGTGGTGCCAACATCAACACGCAGTGACTTTCCCGAACCCTCAGTTTGTTTACACTAGACATCAGCCATCATCTTATATCCTTAAATGACGTCACTATGAGCATGTTCCGCTACGGCGCCATCCAATCAAATCATCGATGAAGCTGGAATGTCGTGACGCATTGCTAGTGTGTGGAAGGATATGTCAACATAATGTACCACCGAATTTACTAGTAAAAGGTGTCATTCACATGTCAAAAGCACATTGTCAAGAGATTGTTGGCATACCTGCCATGTCCATCACACAAAGTCAGCTGTTTCTCAATCAAACAAAGACGATTTGTCCATTCTGCAGGTGCACGACTGTTTTTCGGGAAAATGCGGTTTTTTGACATTATTTGGTTGTTCCGGAAATTTTGGCTACTTGATCATAAATTGCAGAAAGATTATTTTTTCTTTCTAAAAATTATTCCCACTGCACCCCTGATCGCACCCCACGACAACTTTTCAAATAATCTCGTTTCTCACCCTACTCGCAGTGGTGTGCCTAAACAATTTTGTTTGGGGGGGGGCGTGCAAAAAATGACCAACTTTTCTTGTTTGTTCGACCATTTCTACATAGAAAATTCATTAACAATGAAAAAAATGATCATATACACACTTAATGATAACAAGTAAGAGCAAATGATGGCATGAAAGTATAAGGAAATTAAGTTTGCGGAAACTAATATTCCTGGAGTTTGCGTTTTTGGGTGAATCCATGAGCACCTTTTTGCGAAAAGCAATTTAGAGGATGCAAAAATTAATTTAAGTTTCTTTTGAGAATTAAGCTTATAAAATTACCTCTAATCTATAGAATTTTATAAGAATTAAAGGGCAAATATGGCTGGTAAGCTGCGGAGATTTCAGAGGCTCTGGGGCAAAAGGGAAAGACGATGCCCCTGCGAGCGGAGCGAGCAGAAAATTTTTGCGACAACACACTTGAGATAAGCTTAATATGCAACTCAGAAAAATACTTGCAGTTATTTCTTGCAGTCATTTCTTATAGTCGCTAGCTTGCTTCTTATAGCAAGTCATTTGCAATACACTCTTTTTTGTACAAACTGTTTTTCATCGTGTTCTTTCGGACCTTCATTCTGACGTTTTATGCTTTGAGGAGTGTCAGACGAAAGAGCTTTTAGTTAATATGTTGTAAAATGTTTGCTTTTTTCAAAGCCATTTTCAAGTTCTGTACCGCCAAAAAACTGTTTAGATGGAATTAGACATTCTACAACAAAATGATGGTCAAAATTTGTCCAGCAAACTTTAATAATGTTTTTCGTTTTTCGTTTTTCGTTCATAATATTCATCGGTAAGGTGGGTTTTTGGTGTCTTTTCGGCCAATTTCTATAAACAGCTGCCAGCAAGTGGCGGTATCCTAGCCGTAAAAGTAGCCTTTGTTTTAATGTATCGCCATCCATTATCCAAAGAAATTTGGCGATAAGACTGAAAAAAGAACCTTTATAATTCGTTAACTTTCATAAAACATCCAAAAATGCAAAGGTGTTTTATTCCAAACTGGTTTCCCTGTTGAACGCAGGTTGTTTGACCCAAACAACTTTCGCAAACTGGTGTCTTGCCACGCGGGTTATCCCTTGTGACACAGCTCCTTTAAGGAAGCTTTTGCGTCAACTTTTTGGAAGTTCGAAGCGCATCTTGATAACGTTTTATTTTATTTTACTCTCAAGAGATTCTCTTACGTCAATGCATAACAATCGGTTAAAAAGATTGATAAGAGAGATTGCTTCAGTTTCGGTTCACTGGGTGTACCCACAGGAAATTACATAGAAAATTGATACTAAGTCATTTACACGTGGAAACACCGAGACCTGATTGATCAACTCGTCAAGAGCTGAATCATTTAATTTAATTCCCCATTCGATTAGTACAGAAGTCAGAAAGGTTTACACATTGATAGATAATTAATTCTCATCCTGCACAATAATAATCTTTTTTCAAAATCAAATTATAATCCTTGGCATTCATGATTATTGTCCTTCACTATATTTTAAGAACTTTCTACTGTACGATTGAAAAAATTGAAAAAAATGAAAAATATATTTGAAGCGAAATGGGGTTAATGTGGTGACTTTACAAGGTAGAAAAAGGCCTATTTTTAAATAAAGCAACTCTGTCCTTATCTTCGAAAAATATTATGGCACTAAATTAGGGACAATGGCTCTTCAAGATAGATAAATACATTTTTGCGACTATACTGACGCACCAACCGCCAACCCGACCTGATCGGCCTGAGCCAAGATATCGTGCTCTGAGTATTTCTTCACACCAGAGTTCCATCTTAGTGCATTCGTGCCTATGCAACTCCTTCCCCTTATTCCTGAAATATTTTCCATAGTAGAAATGATAGAGGCAAGCGGGGCGACTTTGGCAAATTATCACAGGGGCTAGTTGTCTTTACTCCTTTTTAATAAACTAAACTAAACTCAGGGGCCAGCCTTAAAAACCTTCTTAAAATGTCTGAGATTTCAATTCTAAGTTAATCAAAAATTGCCACAAATTATATTCAGTACAATACAATACAAAAAACAATACGTACAAACTTCTAAACTACATTACAAGTACGGAACCCAGGAGGAGCAATATATGATGACTGTCCTCTGGGATATGACATGTATTTAAATATAAGTAATAATACAGTTATAAATCTAATACAACCACAGTAAAATAGAACATATACATATAAGGTAAATATTTGAGCCCGTTTCACATAGGAAATACGTTTTGATGGTCAAGGTTAGTACCCAATATGAAGTTGATTGAGAAGATTGGTTTGGAGTCAAGTGACACCCCCTTCTGACGTCTTGAGTTATTCGTTGAAGTTTTAATTAGTCCACAAAATTCTTATTTTGTCGCTAAAATCGTCTTTCGAAAGTTGAAAGACCGCGTACATTTTCCTTCAGTTATGTCTTCGTTGGTATCACTTACTATTAATCACCCTTCAGACCTCAAAACTCTAGTCAGGTAGATCAAGCTACGCCACTTGCCTGAGGTAATACAAAGGGTAATACAATCTGCGGATGCAATAATCCGAAGGTCGAAAAATGTAACCAGTAACCACGTGATAATGTAATTTTCCCAAGAACTTGACCTTTGCCAAACATTCTATCCCATGATGCTACGAGGGAGAGGGACCCAATGAGGTAGGGACCATGTTCTGCTGAACTTGTGATCCGGGTCAATCAATCAAGAGTATTCTTTGGTTCTTTGCACTTTCTTCACTTCAAGAATCATTCTTTGGGTCATACCTTACGATTCTTCAGTGAGGTAGCCTGTGCTTGTGCCAGAGGGTAAGAGAAAGAAATGGCTTTTTGGCCCGGTTTAGTATTCCACAAGAAGAAAGAATGGGGGAAAGCAATGCGTAATTTTTGCATGGTAAATCATCGTTCTTTCCTTAACAGAATTTGTAGGCAGACAAGAGGGAAAGGGTTATAAGGAGGGCATGCGCAGAACTGACCCGATCTTGCGCAAGGTATATACCGCGCAGACAACGATGCAAGACTGGGCCAGATTTGTATCGGGTGACTTAGTGCGCTTTGTTTTAAAAATCTACTGCTTGTTTGAAGATGCGACATTTGGATCTTTGCTTAATTCATTTAAATTCTTGTCCTTTAGAGATTTACATGCACAGCAGTAAGCAAAGCGCGTTTAAAGGCTTTTAACATACATAAGTACAGCGAGTCCAAAAATAACTTGCGCATGCGCGCATGAAAGGAAGTGGGAACTGCTCGCGGGAAACCACTGTGCGCTGCTTTTAGCATTTAGCCTCAGAAAGGCGGAAACTTTTCACATGTCTTTCTCTGTGCGCAATTTGATTGTTCAACCGCTGGTGATCGAGGTGCTGTAAGCCACCTATACCTGTGTCAAATGACTTTAAGTTCAAGTTCTTAAATAAGGAATTTATATCTCTGAAAAAGTACCCATTCTTCCTAGGTCAAACTTTCTTTATACAACATTGACAACTACAATCTCCATTCTTAAACTTAGACAATTTTTTCATTGAAAATCGAGCTAAAGGATCTTCATAATTCATCGGATATAAAAAATGTTGAAATTAAGTCATTTGCTGTTTGAAACCATTCTCTTACCACTTCCCTCTTCTGTCTTTCCTGTGTAGGGAAACGGGGTCTTCTTTAAGTTCAGAAGGCCAATATCCAAATTTGTGCACACAAAATCATCAATGACAAAAATGTATTCCTTTATTAGACATGTTTGGAAAGAAAATTTGTCTGAAAATGCGTGGCTAGCTTATTTTTTTGGAGTTTTGAAAAAGCGACTCTAGCATTCTGGATTTTTGACAAGCACTGATTAGTTAAAATAACATCCAAATGCATCTTAACTTCAAGAGGCATTTAACAAACAAAGTGGTTTCGAAAAAATTATGTAGTCCATACCCTTTGAACGTCAGAAATGCCCTTTTTTATTTTTTTTCCCTGGGGGGATGTGTCCATAACTTCGAACGTAGACAAATGCATCATTTAATTTTTTTCCCTGGGGGGGGGGGGGTGTTGCCCTTTTTGTCTGCCTTGCTATGCTACTGAGCGTCCATTTTATATTCTACTGTTATTTTATATTTTATATGCAACCCATTAGTTATTTTATGGAAATTTCCCACCCAGCCCCTTTATTCCAGACCCCTTGTCTATTCAGGACAGAAGAGTAAACAATCACAATGGTAAATTTACGGCCAAGCAAAACAACAACAGTTCTAAAAGGCAGCTATCAAGGAAACCATGCCTTCTACTTTTTTAGACTACTTCGCAGAAAGCATTTACAAAGAATACTCACTTCTAAATTTCAATTTGTCACTAATTATTAACAAATGATCATTGACAACTAATCTCCAACAAAATCAAAACCGAATGTGTGCATTGCTTCAAATCTTATTCAATGCTTGTTGTTTCTTGTATTTTCTAGGATGTCCTTGAAATTCAAGATTATGAAATGTTGTAATCCACTGTGATTGCATTAATTCAATGTTATCAGAACTGTTACTTTTTACACTCTTAGTATCTAGAAATTAATTCTTTCTAGAACTAAGGCTAATATTATTTGAGTTTTAGCCCCTGAAATCTTTCACATTCTTTTATTTTTCTTTGCAACAAAATCCAAAATTTGAACACCATTCTTTAGCACAATTGACTTACAAAATAAAAAGAATATAAATATACCAAAAGTATTTATGATTTATTTTGAATATGACCTGTGGTCAATAGTTCAAACTATTATATGCAACAAAAATATCACAAAAGCAATAAAAATATTTGGTTTTTTCAGATGTTTTAAATGAAACTTACAATGGAAGCAATACAGAAAAATCTCATAATATCACAAAAAACACACACAAATTTGTGTAATATTTTATATTGTAAAATATTATCAAGCTATTCATAAATATAGGTACACACCCAAGGTAATGGAAATTTAAAAATTGTATTTTTCCAAAACCTTGTCTTTGAAAGGAAGGTGAATCACTTCCCTGTAAAATTAACTACAATATTTTGTTGATAATTACACTGAGTAGTGGAATAGGACTGGGATAATAGGGACCAGGGTTATAGTTCTATAGAAAAGAAAAGCTTGTTATAATATTTGAAAATTTGGTAAATAGTTTGAAGTAAATAGGGGTTAGAACAGATATTTTTCATAGAGCCTTCAAATTTCAAAAGTGTTTATAATAAAACATTGCATGATCATTGAGGATTTGACAGCTGGAGCCAATAGGTTCAAGGAGTTTTATAATAGTGTATTATGTACAAATCTTGCTTTGAATGTCCATCATTTCTAAATATTTCCTATTTTTAGGCACATATCTAGAATCTAGTGTTTGCCTGGTTGTGGTGTACCCCAGCAAAAAAAGTAGAAGATTTAAGCTTTTTAAATCTTGTTAACCTATGACAATATTCCTGTGGACTTATATCACAATTCAAATGGATATGACCAATAATCCTGCATTAATACTATAGGGGCCTATTATAGTTTTCCAGCTATTATAGTTTTCCAGCTTCACAGCCTGAACCTATTTCTTTATATGTGGTCTTAGGATTCGGCAATAGGTTTTCTGCAGATTGCGCCTTCCGCATAAGAAGCAACTTGCATCTTTCCTTATAGGTTGGCAACTGTTTATGGCATTTCCAAGAAATTAAAAAATGAAGGTTTGGATCAACACAAAAGCTAGTTCTGTGAATCAGTGTGAAAACCAATAAAACCAAGCCTGTAGCCAGGCCTGTGGAGTAGGGGTGGCAAATCCCCAAACCTGTTGCAGGCAGACATCTTAGGAAGCTTTGCTTAGCAACAAAAGTTTTTTAGTACCAGGCACCACCTTAAGAGATAATACGAGACCCCAATAAACATAATATATGGGTAATATAGACAACAAGAGCTACAAATAAACCATTTTCCTTCTGTCAGTATTAACATGACTCTAATTGTGATGGCAATCCAATAAAATCCACCAAAACCACCATTGGAAAATTTACAGACAAAATTATCGGGGTGGAAAACAGCTGGTATTCTCTTGCTCCAGGGCTGGCATTGCAACCCTATGCCACCCCTTGGCTACAGGCCTGAATAGAATTTGTCATACAGTTACTTTAGGCAATGTTCACCATTAACTAATATACAAGCAATTATCTTTTTGTGCCATGGTACATTTTGCCATCACCACAGCATCTTTACGCTTTTAATTGCAGATTGTGGCTTTTGGCTGCTTTGCAAGGTTTGCATCCACTAAAAAAGGCCCCCACACTAGAGACCATGGTATGGTAAAACAGCTCTGATTTGCTGGTAAAACCATTTGTATATAAGTAAAAACATGAAATTTCTAATTTTTCAAACTAAATACAAATAGAGAAAACGAAACTAAAAACGTTATTGTAACAAGCAACTTTCTATTTTGCAATTTTCTCTCTTTCATTTGGTTAACTTGACGGAGAAACTCAATCCTTTCCTGAGCACGCTGCTGACTTTTTTGGAAGGCATTTCCATAATGGGCTCTAGTCCATTCATCATAGCTGTCCTTGTATTTAAGATTAGATTTTCTATGCCTTGCCAAGACATCGTGGTCGAAAACATGGGTTGCTAAACTCCTGTCGTAAGCTTGTTTTTTATCCTTATCTGACAACACTTGATACGCCTCTGAAATATCTGAGAATCTTTCTTGCGATTCAGACGAATTTTTATTTCTATCTGGGTGATAAATTAACGATAGTTTGTAATAAGCTGTTTTGATTTGCGAAGCAGTTGCTTTAGGAGAAATTTTCAGAGTACTATAATGATCACCTTTAAAACCACTTCTGACCTTCTTTCGATGCGTCGAAATGAATCTGAAGAGTTGTTGCCAACAAAAATGATACTTGTTAAGGACTCCTGGAAGGGATTTTCCATAAACTGGAGCTACAAGTCCTACAACATGTTGGAAAAACATTGCATAATAACATAGAGAAGCATCCCTCTTCATCAAAGAATAATTTTAAGGTGGCCTCGTTCACGAGTTCGCCTCGTTGTGAACCTGAGCAAGAAAATCTCGGATTTTTGTCAACTACACCAAAGATAGACTACATTTATACCATAGTCAATGCTTATACAAAGCAAATTTTCATAAGACACCAGGCAAAGGTAATAAGAAACTAGTGATAGCAAAAAAAACTAAATAGGGAATGAACAGTTTGAGGTAGTTAATTTTTTGCGCAACTTCTCATGGATTCTTCATAATTCACCTGTCAACAGGGAAGATGGTAACGGCGTTTAAAAACATGAACGAATTTCCTCGAAAACATGAAACAGCCCCCTTAAAATGTGAATGTAGTCCAAAAAAACAGTAAAAGCTCCTGGGAATGAAAAAAATCCAAGCCAGTGAATTTTCCAAGGATGCCCTAAAACATAAAGAAAGTCCGACTAAACATCAAGGAGGCCACTGAAGATACGGACAGCAATGAAGGAACCTCGGAAAGCATGAGAGGGGCCTCCCAAAACATGGAGGAACCTTGTGAACACACACATGATTTTCTGAAATTGAGGTAGGTTTCCTTTCTCTGCCAATGCATTACCTGCTCAATACACACGTTTCGAAAGTGTAAGTCTGGATTCAATAATTTTATCCACAAAAAGCTAAAATGAAGCTACAATCCAAAACAATCTGTTATGGATTCACAACCCCCCCCCCCCCAGTTCCATGTTGATATCTCTGACATATATTCATTGGTAAGCTTCACTTGCTTAGTAGCATTCGTGTGTTGTGGATGGAATCGTTAACTATTGTTTGTATCAAGTTTTTTATGTACTGCTGCAAGTTTAGCACCGTTTACAGTCACACCCCAGTTACAGTCACAAGTTCTCAAGCAACAATTGGCTTGACTCATGGGGGCAGTTAGGACTTTGACATTGGAAGAGAGACAAATTTTTACCAATAGGCAGAAATTACTATCCTAATAATAAAGTACAGATGTAATGCATAACCATGTACAAGCCAACACAATCATTGGAGAGGGGGTTCGGAGGCAACATGTGCACATTTTCAAACTCAATACGATCTGCAAACGTTTTGGTTCGGGGACCCTCTAGAACATTGGGTGCCCAGGCCCCCTGCCCCCTTCGTACTACCCCTTGGTGTGACTATAAGTGGGGTTTACTGTAACTCGGAATGAAAAGAGGGAAAGTTCTATAAGGCAAGTGAAACCGGTAAAACAAATACCCTGTTTTCACTCGGTATTGGCCTTCTGTTTACAGTGAAATGTCTTTTTAACCGGAATCAGAATGAAAACAATTTGGCACGTGGTAATAAATCGTTTCAGGTTAAATACCCCAAAACGGAACAATTTCATTAACTCCCCTCGAATTTTGTGTGTAATATTTTGAGATTGTAGCAATGTTGCTGTCAATATCAGAGGAGTGAGTTGGAATGAGTCTCCTCTAGAAAGTACTTAAAACAAGGAAAATTGAGAAGAAAAAAGTCGGTCTTGCTATGCGCTAATGAGGTCCAAGATAAGTTGAAGACAAGGAATTTCTCGTGAGTACCTCGTTGAAAAAAATTCTGGATTCAACTTTCCTAATCAATGGTATATCTAAGCATAGAGAACTAACCAAAACTTGATTTTTAAGACTTTAAGAAAGTATTATTAAATACCAATCTTCATAAATCAAATAGTAATAAATTAGAGAAGCCCAACAATCTTTTTGCTTATCACGAGCTCTCTAGGCGTTCATATTACATACCATATGATACGAGATGATATATAAGCCACAGGACAGACACTAGTAGAATATTACAACAGGGAATGAGCCCTGCAGCTATCAGCCTTAGGCCTAAAACTCCCGATAGTGACACCTCAAAATACAAGAAAGAAAAAACGTAAGCGGCAATATCTTATTCTTGTGCGGAATGATTGAGATCAGATTGGGAGATCATCTTCTTATGAAATAGGAAAATAATTAACAGCACAACAGTGAAAAACATGCAACTATAAATACAATCTATTCCCTGGTACAAATTTAGCCAAATTGCAAGAAATTGTACAAAACATTGCCAAAAACGATCAAAATATTTCACCAGTAGACAAATTAGCAACGTCCAACTTCATGCAAAAACAATCACTACCTTTCAAAACATTGATGACTAGAAACTGTCGATATCCACGTGTTTATAACTTGGTATTGTAATTTGCTTCGTTGTTGTTGATATTAAACCCAGTAATATCACCATCTGCAAGACGAGTTGATTGTGGTTTGTCGGTAACACTAAATTCGATCAGATTGTCTCCTGTAAAATTTCACAAATCAATTAATGACAGAGATTAATAACAAATCAAAAATCAAATCAATTAAAAACATTTTGAAACATACTAAAGCTCTTGGTCTGAAACTCTTAGCAGTATAAAACGTCAGCGCATAGATCGGAAATTCAAAGCTGGGAATTATATATACCCAGTTGTGAATCGAAATAGGTCGATCAGAACAGCTAGCCAGATTATCGCTGCTGGCCTATTGAAAATATTATCATATTTGAAAAGTGTCAGACGAAAAGATTTAGTATGTTTCAAAATGTTTTCTTTTCTGAAAGCCATTTTTAATTTTTGTACCACCCAAAGAGAAAACTTCGTTTGTTTTAAACATATACTACCCATTTATTACGATACAGTACAACAGCTTTTAAAAAACAGCGCATTCACAGCTAAAAAAATGTCGCCATTTGATAATAAAAATGAGTGGTATGAATTAGAAGTTACAAAAGAGTTTTATTCAAACGTATTGCACCGTTTTTTGCATCATGAATTTTTAAAGTTTTTAAACAACATTGAGAATTTATAAATTCTTGGCTGTTGAGATAATTTTGAATAATAAATCAAATTAAATTGAATAAAATAAAATAAAATAAAATAAAATTAGAATCACAATTTTAAAAAAATTCAACAGAGGTTTATAGTTACAAATATATTTTATAAATGTTTCCATTCTCTTCTAAACTGAATGAACTTCAAAATCTCTTTTAATACTTAAAAATGAAATAAAAACTTTAACTTGGTTGATATAATTATAGCTTGGTTTTAATACGATTTTAGCATCATAAAAAGACTTTAAAAGAGGAAAATTTTATAAGCAAAAACGAAAATATTTAATCTCCAAAGAAACTGGATACGTTGATTGTTATAAATATTCAAAAACTCTAATAACGAAAAAGGCTATTTAAACTTGCACAAATTGAACTAGGATTTATTGAAAAGAAATATTCCAAACACTGATTTAGATTTGGGGTTGAAATAATGAGAATTAAAGAGTTGTCAGGTTAATGTAAATGAATTAGGTGTGTATGTAGCGTTATGACTATATTTATTTGTTAACTTTATACTTACAAGAACCATGTACGTTCGTTTAGCTGAAAGACAAGACAAATTGGTTTCTTAATTCATAGAGAATTTACAATATCTTTCTCACGAAGTAAATAAATTATTTGCAAAGAATGAAATGGCTCTGGCGTGCTTTGGTCTGGCCACGTGACTGAGTGGTGCAGATCAAAAGTATTTGTTCATAATGAGCGATTCCTTGATTCCTAAACCAGCTTTCGTGAGCCTCGCGTGAACTGAATTGGAAACCAGCTTTTTCAAAACCATTAACTCTAATTATTAAAATTATTACTATCTAATTATTACAGTAACGATCTTTACTGAAAGACTTTTAGTAAAGTACATTGCCTAGTGTGAAATTTAGGGCATGACAAGTGGTGTGTAATTTATTAACGAGAGATATACAAGTGCTACCTTTAAGCGACTATTTAAGTACGTAAAATTATGTGATGAAGTTTCTGTGAATGTAACTACCTCACTTAAGATAAGATTCAACAAAGTAATCAGCAGAAATTTACTCGAAGTTCAATTTGTGAAATGTTTTTATTTTAAATACATTTGGAATGCAAATTATTGGTTGGTTCATCTCTGTTTAAGGCGTTTATCGAGATGTTCACCTTAGAAAGTCCTTAAAATATTAAAAATCTTTGCTTCTGACATTTAAGCACTTAAAATATGGATACTGTCACTTGTAAAAATATTACATCCATTTAAAAACATAGATTGCCTCTTCATTTAAAACATGCTTTATTTAATTTTTCTAACCATTTAATCCCACTAATAAACAGTAAAGCTGGAAATCCTACATACAGAAACAAAGAATAAACTCCCCACCTTTGCTGGCCAAAATCTTTCTTTGTTTCTCAGAATAGAAGCCATTATGGTCAAGCCTCGAAACCATGTTCATCATCTGATGCTCACAATCAGTGGTTGAATACAAACTGAGTTTATCAATTAGCTCGATCAGCAATCGAGAAAAATTCGTCTCAAAATTTGTGATGGTCCTCTTGAAGTCACCGCTGTTCATCATTTCACCATAGTGGTCAGTTAAAATCTGAAGTCAATCGAAGAATTAGTATCTTCAAGGAATGGTTGACATATATTATGTTCGATTGTTTATGTTTTAGATAATAAACTTCAAGGTCTAGCAAAATGGCAGCTCTGAAAAAACAGTCAAATATAAAATGAATATTTGAGTGTTTCAGTGTTTTGAGGAGACCCAAAATAATAAACAAGGCTGCATTGATAGAACGATTTGAAAATAACGCACTGAATTGTCGTATAACTGAAAACGTTTGTCAACTCTGATAATGAGGTGGTTTCATAAGTTCAAAGGTAAATCACAGATACTATCTTTGGAATACTTTCATGGCAAACCGGCTTGAGTTCGACTGGAGGAGGGGCTTTGTTCGGTGCTGTTGATTATAATGATAGCGGTGATGATGATGTTTGCATGAAATTCTTTCCTTACGCTTTGCGGTACTTCTGGATCATCAAACAGTTTATACCCTGAGAACATTTGTCTCCAGGGTCGTTCAAGCCACTTAGATGTAGTCTTATCTTTGTTATAACACAGAGAAAATTACTTACAGATTTCCCTTCGACTGATGAGCTTCCAACACCAGTGCTCGCATCATATCGCTGTTATTGAAAACAATAATTAGAAATAATTTCTCTGAAAACGAAATCAGTCACCTTTGCACAGCAAAAGATCAGAAGAGGGTTCTGAAAGAAATGGAACTATATCAGGTCCATGAATTACAAATTTTCCATTCGTAAACGTTTTCTCTCAAGAAAAGTTTAGATTTTTCTGAGTTGTTTCATAAGATTCAGATTTGAGAAGGAAACTTAAAAATAAACTTCCCAAAAATAAATCGGACACCCTTTGTTTCTGTTGAGAAAAAATTTCAAAGAAAAATGTTTATAAATAAGTGCGAATCAGTTTGTTGATAAGAATCTTAGCACGTCAATCAATACTTATGTTTGAAGATGCTCTAGCTGCCTCGATGCACGAAACAAGATGGACATGATGACGCATGGTCACGCAACTGATGGACTGTGACGTCAGCGGTAAGTGCGTGCAATATATTCACCCGCAGGTCTGATGCATGGATATGCGTCAAAATGTTCCCGAAAAATTTCAGTCATGAAACTGCACCCAGTTTTCCTGTACACTTTTCCTTTTATAAGAACCAGTAAATTTAAGTTCAGGCTGAATGTTCTTAATTTTTTCGAAAATCTGAGGCTGGATTGTTCTTAATTTGTTCTTAAATTAAAAGGGTGCAAGCAGTGCTATTGCTAGCTTTTTCGCTCTAAGGAGGTGTTCGGGCCTCATTTGCCAAAAAGTGAGTGAGACAGCCTTAATTTGCTGACAAATTTGAATATTGACCGAAAAAGCACCCACACATCGCTAAAAATTCTCGATTTTGTGAAAAAACGATGTTCAAAATTGCATTTTGCAGAAGCTCAGCCTCAGCTTGTTCTTAATTTGTTCTTAACTTTTGACCAGTTTTGAGGCTCGTGTTCTTATAAAATTGTTCTTATAAAAAAAGAGTGTATTTAATTTTATCAATAAGCAAGAGTGACGTTTAACATTTTGTTTTCAAGAATTTGTGAGAATTTCAAAACTTTGCTGGTAATGTTTTATGCAAACCAACGAATCAACTTGACAGCAATTTCTTCATTTTATGCCATGCTTAGGAATAATTTCTTATGGAAGGTTGATAAAAAAATTGCTTGGGTTCCAAAAAAGGTTTTTTAGGCAAGATAAATACAAAACGCGATGCCACAACAAGAATTAAATGTGCTACATTTTGAAACTATCGTGTTTCAACCTGTTTCATTAGGAGAGGCTACCTGGCAAAGCAGGTTTCTCAAGACCACTCGGGCCGCACAGCAAGCAGAAATCCACTGGAATTCAGCCGAACCCAACCGATTTTCTCGCCCATGCCAGGAAAATTAAATTCTTCATCAACATGCGTTGTTGTTTTTTGTTGAGAGAGGAATTCCCACCATAATATAAATGGGACCGAAAAATAACCTTACCAAACAGCGACTGTCAAAACAATCTTCAAATGTTAGAATGGATCAAGTTACAATTTGGAAAACACCCTGGCCCAAGCCCCCTGAATTGTCGGCCCTAATAAAAGATTCTGACTTTTGAAAAACAGGGCTTATTAAGTGGGAGGATTCTTAAAAGTGGATAGGTGCTCTTTTCTAAAGAGAATTAATTTTCTCTAACGCAACACCGAAAAACACTGCATCATATCCTGAAGACTTGCTATAATTTAAGCCCAATTTCCCTGTTTATTGTGGAAAACACTAACAAACAAAGCTGTGTTAGATGCTTTCCACGGAAAGAGCAACAAGCTGTTTATTTCGACTCGGTAAATGCGCGTTTTGCACGTGACTCTTTTTCATCTCATTCAGTACCTATATTTCTTTTGACACAAGAACCTTGGAGCGTTGTAGGGATAGTGGAGAGGTGCTGAATTGGAACCCTTTTGATGAAGATTTTAAATTTTGTTTAAAGATGATCCATTTAAAAATTCGTTAATTTTTAGGTAAGAGGCGGGCAATAGCCAAAGAGCCCCTCTCCCCCTCTTCTGTGGTGTCTGGTCTCCCAATTAAAACATGCCTTATTATCACTGGCAAGTCATACGTCCCGAATATTCCACAAGTTCAAAGAAATACTTACAACTCCAAAAACTAAGTTAATCTAAAATCAATCACTGAAGTGTGTTTTCGACAGAACTGTTTCTTTCTTTATCTGAAGCTTGTTTTGGTTCACATCCTGCAGATCAGGTGTAAGGAGATATTTCATTAAAAACAGAAAAAAACCGTGTAAAAACCCTTTGGCCATACCTGAATACAGTTTGAGAAAGTGACACAAACCATCATCAACTTGCTTACAACCTGAAGGAGATAAAGCAAATTGTTATCTTCACAACTACACGACGGGTACATTTGAAACCAAGATACGTCACAGCTTTGCACACTAGACATATTATTGTAAAATATATCATTATGCAAGATAATTTGTTTATTCAAAAAGCAAGGCATTTTTCTCATACCAACGGGCTCAAAAATGAAATTACTAGAATACATAATCAATATCTCAAAAGAACTACTAACAAAATTTGCAGGAACAAAATTTGCAGGAGTCACACAAGGGTCGTTTCTTGAGCTATTGCTTTCATTTCAACAGCAGCAATACTGAGAGTGTGCATTTATCACAGAAAGGTCTTGTGAAGCAGTTTCACCTTTCAAATCTTCCCTCGAACTGAAAAACCTTGTCAATTTTCTCTTTCGCTTATTCTCAAATACCGAACATTTTCTGCTATATCTAGATTACATAGATACCTTCAAAAAGAAAAAGTCCGCCTTTTACTTATGTGGTGGCCCCTTTAAGGAGAAAACCCGAGAAATGTATGGAAATCGAAGAATTAATATCTCTTTGAATTGAAAGGACTTTAAGTTGACCATTTGCGTAAGAAAACATATTTTTCTATCACTGATTGTTTGTATTACTATTGGTATTATCGTAGTCTTTTTAATACCTTGAGGAGCTCTGGATTTGTGAGCATGCAATCTTTGAGGCAGCGATCCAAGAAGTCATTGTGTTGCTCCAAAACTCCATCGATGTTTGAAACCTGCAATGTTGCAAAAAGTTAGAATTCGTAACCAGAATTTAAGCTTGAAAAGTAGACAATTCGTCTATGACTCGTCCATTTCTCTTCTAGAATCAGATCAACCCTGGATACGAGCGAGGGGCAAATCACTCCAAGAAAATCTCGTACACCTTTCGTGAAAATCCTATTGTTTTAACTGAGAATCCCCAGAAATCCTTTTGTTTTAGGGAAAATCTCGTACGCTATTTGCAAGAGTGAATTGTCCCTCGGATTTGAGAACACTTTCCAGTCATATATATTTATATGTAAATCTTAATCTTAATAGTGCCTCCCGAAAGCCTTTTGACAAACTACTGTATTTCCCTAACTTGAGAAGTTGCAGCTTTTATTTGTCAGTCTCAAGACCTGGCGAAATGGCAGTTAATGTCAGCCTCCATCGAAGGGCGGTTTCTGTAAAAAGGAGGCAACTTTTTCTAGAAATCTTAATTGACAAAATCGAAAAAGTCATGCTACTCCACTAACTCCACTAAGCTACCAATAAATTTCAAAATCCCCTTCAAAACAGTACGCAAACATTTCATTATTTCAAAAATTTCTTTTATTGCAACGGGGGTTGTTTCAACAGCCAGAACGCAGTTGATAACAGTGAAACCCAGAAAGGCTATTTGGCATTCTTGCAAATATGGGTATTAGAACGAATTATGCAGTCTGGACCGTCTGAAACGGGAAAGTACTTCAATGTCCATGTATTGCACTATTTCCTACATAACAGAGTACTGAATAAGAAGCAACATGTGCCTCGCTGTTATCTCGGAAAACTGACTGCGGTTATCCAACACTCAAAGGCTACACGTCTGTCCCTGATATAATCCTTCCTGAGCACTCCAGCGAGTATCGACAGACTAAAGTAGGCGTAAATAATCCCTTCGATATTGGCAAGATAATAATATCAGCTTTCCTATTCCACAAATTCAAAATAAACAAATATGAAAAAATACAAAGAAAGGAAGCTTCCTATACATTTCATTGGTTCCTTCCCTCAATTCAGAGACCTTCTCCGTGTTAAGGGAGCCCTTCTTGTTCTTAGTGGTACCTCCAATGTTCTTAGGGGTAACCTCTGTGTCCTTAAGTTACATCAAATGTTCTTAGGGGTATCTTCATGTTTTTAGGGGTACCGTCTGTGTTATTAGGGGTACCTTCATGTTCTTAGGGGTACCGTCTGTGTTCTTAGGGGTACCGTTTGTGTTCTTAGGAGTACCGTCTGTGTTATTAGGGGTACTTTCATGTCCTTAAGGGTACCATTTGTGTTCTTAGGGGTACCATTTGTGTTCTTAGGGGTACCATTTGTGTTCTTAGGGTTACCTTCGTGTTCTTAGGGGTACCCTTATTGCCAAGCACTTTACTTCTAGATGCTCATTCTATTTTACCCACAACATAAGGAACTACTCAAAGAGTGCATCGTGTTACCTCACGCAAATTTTCTGCAAGAATTTGCCAGTTAGGCTCGATAACTTCAAACATCATGTAATACTCCAAGTTTTGAACAAAATGTATCATTCTTTGGCGCAAATCAAGAGCAGTTGAAAACCTAAAATGAGAATAGTTGGCAATGATTTCTTACATTATTTAAACAAGGAACTTTATAAGTATTTGATATTCAATCATGTAGAGGTAACGTCTAAAATAAAGGTTCTCGAGCTTTTATTTAGAATTCAAATGAAAAAGCAATAATAAGCATTTTTGAAGATTTAACCATAAAACATATGCAAAGACAAGTCATAATTTTAAAAGCAATGCCTTAAAAAACCAAACATGGTCTTGAAATACTATTCTTCTTTGATATGAATACGTACAATTCCCGTCAGTCCTCGAATAAGCACAGGGGTCACATTTTGTAAAAAAGATTTTGAGGTGGGGGCGTATTCGAAGGCGGGGGCTTATTTGGCAGCAGCCAAAAGTACTACCAGGGTAAATGTTCTTGCTCTATATTTAAGGATGGTCAACATGCTTAAAAATGCAGATATATTGGGACAAATCTATTGCTGTCGAGCCAACACCTGAGCCAATGGGGGCTTAATCGAGGTTGGGGGCTTATTTCGAGGTTTGACGGTACTTATTTGTTGGTTGGAGTGACATGGTAGACAGAAAATCGTCGAAGAAGCGGAAACCGGTTTAACTTCAAAGTAACAATTGGAATGGCTTGAAAAATACAACTGGATTGGCTCAAAAGTACTTCTGGTCTGGCATCAAAACAACGAAGCTGTGCACAGTGCTTAAAATTAAGGTGTATTACATTAAGGTATTTGTGTATTCTACATGATCTATTACACAACATAAACTGTATTCCCTATATTAACCTTTTCAGACCATAATGAAAAAAAAACGATGAAAAATGAGTCAATATAGTAAAAAGATATATGATTAAAACGAGAATCTCATACCAAGAAGTAGATTTTCCTTGCTGCTTCACACCCTTGTTTATTGTCCACAGACTGAAATATCAAAAATTGCGCTTCTAAGTATTAACAGAGGATGTTAAAATACTAACACAAAAATAATAATGTAATATGTAAGTGTAGCTATCTAAATCCATGTTTTGAGAACTTTCTGTTTACGAACTAATACCAAAAATACCCATGATGCATTGCATGTATTGCATAATACCTTCGAATAGAGACAGGAGTAACACAGTGGCGATAAGAGTCCTCAATCAATACGAGAAACCACACGCATCTATATCTTCGTAATGGAGCCATCTTAAAAGCCGTAACATCATTTTGGCTTTCAAATATTTTCAGCTATGAATCGTTGTAAAATCAGTACATTATTGTAATCAGTGTAAAATCAGAATATAAGCATTTTTTGTAAGCGATTTAAAAAAAGTAATACAACAGAAAATCGTTTTTCAGTATTTTTGTAAACAATTTAAGATACAACAATAAACTGTTTTTAGACCTTTATGAGAATAATTTCAAAAATTTGTTTCAATAGGCCTAACATCGTGCAAGGTAACTGCTAAAGATTACGAAACTGAAGATGCTAAAGATCAATACAGCTTTCAAGTGATCGTCTTGTCCACAAATTGCTAGCAACCTTTTGGCAACACTCTTTTCTACACTGTTCAGGGTCCTCGACAGTCCTTGTGTTAGATACCGAATTTTAGTTAGATTATAGAATTAAGCTTACTTACGAGTGCTACAGCAGAATGAGGCTATACCTAACAGAACGGGAAATAAGTACTAACAAAACACGCGGGGGTACCCTACAGTTGATCGCTTAATCAAATATGCAAAATCACCTTATTGTCATATTCTGAAAATGAAAATTGTCTACAGAAAAAATAAATTGCTCCCAACAAACCTGCAAAGTTGCCTTTCAACATGCTTTGAGTAAAACAAATGTCTGAAAAGCATCTGGTATTTTGTCAATGCCTGTAAACAAAATTAGAGATCATGTTTATGGAAAGAAGCATCCTGTAACATCATAAAAGAATTACCTTACCAATTGCAAAACAGAAATTGAGAATCTGATATTATCGTTGCAAAGCATTGATATCAATATGTTCGAAAGATATTTATTCCCATCTTATAATCTCAAATATTTGTGTTAAAAAAGAAACATTCACGATGTTGACTGGTCAATAAAAACTGACTGTCTATGTTTAACTTGAATTATAACGTGTCAATAAGTTGAAATGGAGGGACTTTAATAACTAAGGGTGAAAGTAATTAGAGACTGGAAATACCTTTTTACTGAGGATGAGAGACAAAGGCCACTTGACAACGTAATCTAAAGAAAATGCCTCTAGCCCTGAAAAGCAATGGAAATATAACGTATAAGAAACAAGACTGCCCCTCAAAGAGAACAGCCTCCTCGATCTTGTAGGTCTAGAAACACTGTTAAAACAAGTGATTCTGCCATTGGTCAACATCTTTTAGACAACCCAGATTGTGCAGAACTCTATAATGACGACATGTTTCCGATAATTGGCAGAGCCCGGTCGTCCTTCCATCTAGCAGTTTTGGAGTCGATCTACATACAAACGAAAAAGCCGCCATTGTGTAGACAGAAGGAGTTCGTTTTCTCTCTTGGACTCCAGTGGTAATTTTTCTTTAGGCTCGCAGCACTGATTGGTCAACTATACCGGTCTTGTGCTTGCGTTTTTCTGATTGGCCTATTTCTATCCACAACTGGGTATATATTTTTCATCGTGTTCTTTCGGACCCTTATTCTGACATCCTATGCTCTGAGGAGTGTCAGACGAAACAGCTTTTAGTATGTTGTAAAATGTTTGCTTTTTTCAAAGCCATTTTCAAAGATTAAATTAGTTGTTAAGATTGTAGAAATTTGCATTGTGAGAATAGAAATCTGATTCAAAATTTGACTCGTCCACATCTCTTCTAGTGTCAAAGTAACACTAGATAGAAAAAAACTATCCAGTCAAATAGATGTATAAAAATAACATGAAGCAAGTACTTAGAATCGTTCTGCTCTATACACTAAAAGGGTTTACAGCTATGCACATATGGCATCAAGCAATTCATGAAAGGCCGGTAAACATCAATTTTCATTATGAACATAACATGGTCTTGAGACTGAACACTATTCATTCATTTATAGGTTGAGGATAATTTTGCTAGTCTCTAATGACCCAGAATATCTTAGAGATATACCGTAAATCCTCGAATAAGCTCCCAGAGGCCTAATTCGCAAATAAATTGGGGGGGGGAGGGCTTTTCAAAGGAATGGGGCTTATTTTCCCGCAGCCAAAAATTTGGGATAAACATTTGAATGAACATATTGCTGTCGAGGCAATACCTCAGCCCATTCGAGGGTTTGGGCTTGTTTCATAAAAATTACTTTGGTGTGGAGGGTTATTCGAGGGGGGGAGGGGGGCTCATGCGAAGGTGGGGGCTTATTCAGGTAAACAATAGACAACAGGTTTTACGATTTCAGCGGCTGTTTCAACGTTGCAGCAAAGTATTTGGTAGCATGTGCGACATACATAAAGGTAGAGATAGCCGTACCTGATATTTGTGTTTCTGTTGGATCCTGACTTGTGTCTATAGCAGAACATTTAAAAAATATTGATAACATTTAATCAAAGGTGGTACGGAATTTAACTAAAGATTTACATCAGTAACAAAAGTATCAATTAGTACGGCATCCACATTGCCACAAAAACAGAAAGGTTACTCTAAACTCTTCGAGTGAACATTTCATTGCTAGTAATCAACTGCTTTTGTCATGTCGATCCACACAAAACAATAAAATCCAACAATACATATGCCTAGAATTTAGCTGCTTTTATCATTAATAAAAATAAGTGTTAAATTATTGATAAAACGCTTTTCTATTCGAACCGTGAGATTTTTTATATTAAAGAGCTAACTCAACTTCAAGAGTTATCATAATTTTGGCTTAACTTGTGTAAATTAGACAAGGATAAAATAATTCATCGCGAAAAATCAACGAATATTGCTTCGATTAATTTCTTCATTACATCAGAAAATCTACTTACTTCTGTCATGAGTTACCGAAAGTATCCTGAAAAGCTGTGTAATCAAATCGTAAGGCAGCAGATTACACCTACAAAAAATGACAAAAACGTTTAGGCCAAAAACCAATATCATCCGGGGGGATTTTGTAAGGAGAGTCAATAGATTGTGAAATAACTATCTTTGGTGCAATCAGGATGGACGAGGCATACATCGCCTTGGTAGCAAGGATAGAGAAAGAATTCGCACGGTGTGGCTTGATATAAATTGATCATGCCTCAAACTTCAGACTAAGAAACCGAATTGTGAAATATAAATAATAGGTTATTTTGGCTGCAAAAATATTAAAATATTAACTGGTATAGTTACAACAAAATTTTTTGATTCTTTTGACAATATCAATGGAACAAAAAACCCGGAATTTTTTGTTTGAAAGGAGGAATCAAAGAAATGACACAGATGGCCTTTAAACGTTAAGTTTAGTTCAAAGAACAGTAATCAGGAACAAAAAAAATAATGACTATGAAAACTAATAAAAATTCTTCTAGTGAGAGTCTCTACGATAAAATTAGTGTTACAACATCTCTACCCGCTCTTCCTCTTGGAAGTGCATCTTGCATTTAAAACAAAACAGGGGCAAATTACTGCTGAATCCTGTCAAGCTAAGGACAGACCCGTCGCTATAGGAGGATGTGACACCCCCTTGAAAAAAAATCCATTGCAAAAACGAGGCTTTTTGCCATCTAGGGGTGCTTAGTCGGCAATTTGCCAAACTTGTCGGCAAAAAAAGGATGGCGGATGACCCACCCAATTTCTCGGAAAATGGGATATGGAAACCCCCCTTAAGCAAAACAGCTAGCGACGGGCCTGGGTAAGGAGATGGATCCGACTTAGCGAATGGATCCGACTTATCTGGGGTGCGACTCTTGACGTGAACAAGATAGCAAAATCCAAAGGGAATTCAAAATCAGTCCAACTATATGAAAGTTTAAGTTGTCCGGGGTACGGCTTAATGGGATTGAAATGAATTCGTAGAGCATTATCCGGTCACAAGCCCATTTTCATCACCCCTGCCCTTTAGATTCAGGTAAATCGTAGGCTTTCGATTTCAGGACAGACGATTTAAGAAAATTTTGTCTACTGAAAAATCTCAACAGAAAAACATACCTCAGGTCATCTTTAAATGGATCATTGACAGCAGCGCTCGTCCGCAGCGCCAACTCTAGCAATGCTTCTAATCTCGAATGGACAATATCTAGACAACACAAATAATTAACTGGTTGATCATATCCTTAGGGAAAAAAATCATTCCTTATAGGGGTTGGAGGTTCTTCGTAGGAGGGACACTAGGAGAGCCGAGTATATTCTCATGGGAATGCAATAATGTGACATCGTGATAAGGTGGACAATTTTACAGCTGAAACCAGCGCAAACAATTTCTATGTATTTTCCAAAGTAGCAACTCAAATATTCAAACAAAAACAGAAAATACAAAAGATTAAAATAATTAACTACAAAAGAAATGCGCACCATCAGCATTTTTTCTCATCTCATCTTCAGCCAAATCCATGAAACAAACGAAAAAGTCACCCTGATCCAACAGGAAGTAATGTTTTATCGATCTGCGATAAGAATAATCACATAAATTGATAATTTACACATAATTTAACCGTAAATTATACTATATACATACGATGAAGCGGCTGCATTAAGATGAAGTGCAAATAAACTGGAGTTTTGTAAAAGATACAAAGACAAATAATGAATTCATAGGCAAACTTCAAACCTATCATTTATGGCCACGACTTCAAAATTACGAGTGCTAGCAATAAAAAGTCTTTTAAGGGCAAAAATTTTGCGTCTTAGCTTAAGGCCTAGGAAATAAGTGACTTCATAGAGACACAAAAGCTTTCTGATTAATTGTAAAAAATATTTTATTAAAGCGGTGTATCAGACAGAGGTTAAACATGCCTGAGCCTCGCCATCAGTTTCTTTTCGGTCATGAGCAGATCCAGTAATTTGCGACTGGCGTAGTCATAAGCCTTCTCGATGTGATCGACATACCTGAAAAAGTGATATGCAATTTAATCTAGGTGAAGCTTCAGCTGAAGTTTAATTTAATAACTGCTGCATGACTCAGTTAGAATAGTTTGCTTAAGACGAGGAAGATTTCGATTTATTGAACAATCATTTACTAATAATGGACCTGATTGGTTCATAACTCACTATTTGATTGACAGGTGTGTATTTCAATCACATCTCACTATTTGATTGACAGGTGTGTATTTCAATCACATCTCACTATTTGATTGACAGGTGTGTATTTTACTCACATCTCACTTTTTGATTGACAGGTGTGTATTTCAATCACATCTCACTATTTGATTGACAGGTGTGTATTTCACTCACATCTCACTATTTGATTGACAGGTGTGTATTTCAATCAATTAAATTCTATGTAAAGTATCTAAGTATAACTTCACTTAAATACATTTTCAGAACTTTGTCTTTGGACTGCAAAGCAAACAACAACATTATGAAATACACCTAAAAAATCAGTTTTATAAATTACCAATTGGCTGAGATATGGTCACAGGAGAATAGGCTTTTCCCAATTGATTACGACAATGGGTATTCACGTTGGTGTTCCAAGACTTTTGGCATTTATTACAGATAGAGAATGCAACTTTATTTAAAAAGATGTCGCCTTCTCCATCTACAAGGTCATGGCATCTTTTGCAAAGCCAAATGAACCAAACAGACAATTAATGCTTTATGAAGCAAGCTGAAATGAGAAAACCTATAAACAAACAGACTACTTACTCCCTTTCTTTAAGCGTGTAAAGAATTTCCACTGCATGAGGGCAATTGACTGTGACACCTGCACAAAATAACCAGCAAAGAAATTTGATCAAAACGAAATTATCAATAATCCTTTAGTGTAATCAAAATTACATTACGAGAGTGAACATGGACCTCTAAACTGGCCTTAGTGTAATAATTTTACGTTTTATATGATTATAAATAGTAATATAACAATTAAATGCAATGAAATAAAAGAGAAATCATTCTTCTAAAATTTCCTTAATAAAAGAAATTCGTCATGAGTAAGAGAGGGATGAAAACAATTGCAAACATCCTGGAGGGACAAGGCACTTAAAAGAAGCAGATGATTAAAAAATAGTTTAATCTTAACAAAATTAATTTGAAACTAAGGCAAGACTAAACGAATAGTTGACTGCAAATTAAAATTATAGCGTAGACATTTCTGTGAATGCAGGGTCAAAAGCTTTCATGAGTATTCAACGAAACATTTCTTTACAATTACTGCATAAGTTTCAGTGAGAGCAAGCTTCTAGACGAAGCTATATTCATAACATCCCTTTCACATTGGAGTCGTGTATTCGCCCTGGTGTAATAATTGTACTTTTTTATGATTAACAGTAATACAGCAATTAAAAAGCAATGAAATAAAAGATAAATATTTCTTCTAATTTCCTTAATAAAGTTGTTTGAAGATTTCGTTAATAGATTTAATGAGGTTTTTCCGAAAAGTTACTTTCAAAAATTCCAGAAACGTTTAGTCAAAATCTTGCCTTTTAAATTTGTGCTTTAAATCTGCGTGAAGAAACAAGAGGAGGTTCGTGTTTTTCTATGTGGGAAAGGGGTAGGTACCGGTTATTTTGACTTTCATATGAGAGCAAACGTCCTGTCATATAAATGTTTTATTGCTTGTGAGTTAAAATTTAATTATATACACACCGCATTGTCGAATGACATTAAGGTATTTCCCAGTCCTCAGGATCTTTTCGGCTACCTATCAATAGAAAACCGCGTTACGTCAGATTTAGAGGGCTTAAATGTGGATGGAGTTCAAGCTATCTCAAATCCAAAAATAATGTTGGGCGGCAGAACAACATCAGGTTTGCGCGATTTAAAATAAAAAAAAGAAGGTGGAACAAACAGTGAGGGACAAAAAAACGGTTAGTAGGTCGATTTTAAAAAGGGTTTTGAAAAGGGGTGCTTTACAACTATATTTTCGAAACCGGCCTAATATCATACTGCATGAAAATACAAAACACGATCAATTTCTCAAGACAGCTGTCGCTAAGCATCCTGGTTTCGCAAGAGCCTCTAAGCAAAACGAACAATTCTAATACAGACTAATTAACTAAATACAGACTAATTAACTAAATGAAGAAAAAAAATCACTTTCATTGCTTTCCATTGAGTTTTTCGAAATAAAAATGGGAGTAAAATTATAGCCAGATCACGGAACATCATCAGGTATGGAACATCATGATTTGAAGACGGACGGAAAAGCGGAAACATAGCAAAATAAAGTATTTTGAAGAACCGACCCTCCTCGAAGTACCGAGTATAAAGATCGAAATGACAAAGGTAAACAGTCCGGATGCGGATCGAAAAAAATGTTAACGAAATAATGATGCATTTGATTGGTTCTTTGTTGACCAATCAGTGGCTGCTTAATGACGTTTTGCTGTACCCAAGGTTTTAAAGTTAGGATTTCAGAGAACCGAAAACTTTCCGGAGCAAAAGAGAATTAAGAAAATTTCTTAAAAAATCTACACGTACTAATTCTCATTCATAAATGGTTACAAAAATGCATATTGCAAAATGCAAAAAGAAGATTTGATGCCTTAAAACATTGAACTGGTGAAGGTAGTAGGATTGTAGCAACATTCATTACAACAATACTTCATTATAACAAACATGAAATCAAAAGGGCAGAAGATAACTTACTCGCTCAAGAAATACGGGAATCTTTTCCCTGACAATTGCATAGTGTTGATCCCAATAAGTGCAAAGATATTAAGGAAAATTTGAAAACTGTGACTGAAAACAGACGACAGAATACGGTATGGATATTTACAACAATTAAATTATGATTTTACACTTGGTATACTGAAAGAAAAGATATGTGTCGTTGTAGTCTTCGGCAACCCTTTCCTTTTGGATTGATTCATGTTCCGACACGAGAAACTAAAAATGGAATCAAAGTTTCGTTAGAGACTTTCATTGAGACAGGAAAAAAATGCATCATAAATAAGAAAGTAAATATTTATTTATCTTTCTTGAAAGAGATAAGAACGCTAATCTAAATTAAATAAAAACGAGCAAATGATGAAGCAAGTAAGCAAGCAAAAAAATAAACAACAAAGAAGGATAATAAAAAATGGGTAGACAAAAGGATAAGCTAACAAATAATAACATTAAAAAACTGAGCAAATGAGCAAACAGGCAAGACAAGAAATGTGTAAGCCAGTAATTGAAAATTAAGAAAATGCGTAAAAAAGCAAATAAAAAGAAATTGAGAAATTGCAAGTGAGCAAGCAAGCAAGAAGATAGGCCGTTTTTGCAAGTAATAGAGTGAGCAGCAAGAAATTATCCAAGTTGGCAAGTAAAGTGTGGAAATAAGTAAGCATGCATAAATAGTAAATAAGGTAAGCATACCAAAGTAAATTGGTTAGCAAGTGTACCACTTGCATGAATTAGGTTTACCAACCTCACCATAGGGATCATCTATAATTCCCTTATAAATCCATTGCTCCAAAATTTCAAAGTAAGGAGCACAGGCCTAAGGAGAAATGTTAAATAAAACATGAAAAAGACAGAGAAAAGCCAATACTAGCGAATGAAATTTGCATTTGCACAGGAAAAAAGTTTCAAGTTTCAATACACTGCTTCTACTGACTCTGGATTTCACAGGTGTGAGATTTCTTGGAAACATTTATCAGCAAGAGTTACAAATTGCCCTAGAAATAAATCTTTTTATACAAAAATGTCGCAAAATAACCAATAACTTTAATATCCTCCTGAAGATTTTAATCAAACTATCACGTAATTTCGGGGAGCTGCACCCTAAAGCCTATCACATAAATCGACTTGTATTTTACAATGAACGGACATTTGTCGTAATGGATGTTTCTTTTTGTCATTATTTCCAACTTAACCTCACAGTTTAGAACCGATATCATAGAACAAATATGTGGTACCCCAAACAGAACAAAGCAAACATTCAAAGCTTGGATTTGAATAGATTGAGAAAAACCAATTACTGGAACGTTCCAATGAATTGCAACAAATGAAATGGATTTCAAGAAATCTGAATATGCACAGCTACAAGGGTTTTGTGTTTTTCTTGAATCGACTAGTAAAACGAATTGTCCCGGATACGCTACTCAGTTAGCGGGGTTTAGGCAAAGCACATAGATTCCACTAGCCCCCCGATAAAAGTAGGGTTTTGAATGTCTCAAACGCATATATGGAGAAAAGAAAGGAGGTAAGTCGAAATTGTTTCTGGTAGCAATGGCTTATAGAAAAGAGGTGAGTATGTCAAAAAGGAAAAGGAGAATAACATACAGCTTGTGCAAGGTACAGCGTTAGATCTCTCGCTTTTGAATCACTGTTGAAAAAAGGAAGAAATGTAGTAAAAAAACAAACATTGTAATCTTAGATAAAATATCAGTAATGATAGTTGAAAAAATCACAAACTGCAAAGAAAGCTATGAATTCAATCCAATTCAATTCAATAAATGACTCAATTCAATTCAATGATAGCAGGAAATATTTGATACTTCACGGATGTCATGAAGAAACTCACCCAATGTAACTTTCGGTTTTCTCATGCAAAAGAGTCAGGATTGCACCACCTTTGAGAGTGCCCTGTTGAGCGAAACGAACCGTGAGATGAGTACGTTGAAGAGAGGAGAAAGATAGGGGAGCCAGAATTCCGCTTCTGGGAAGAAAGTGGGATTTTCCATAAAGCTCATTCTAGTCACTGACTGGCAGTTACTGCTGGCTGGAAAACTAGAGGGATGGGAACAAAAGACTTTTATTGCCACTCGGTCATGTCAGTTGAAGGATAGTGGGTAAAGTTGTCCATGGCGGGAATGGAGTCAGAAATATTTCGACAAAGGTGCTGGAAATCCAAAAAGGGAGGCTTTAATCTTTGCAATACTGTTGAAAATCTGAATCAAAATCCTGCTTTGCTCCAACTAAAGAGATTTCTACAGTGTGGTTAGAGGCCAAAAGAAATATTTTATTCTTTGAAGGAATAGAATTTCACATAGATAATATTATTAAGATTTGATAACTGTCTTCCTTTTTTAGGCGCTGGGATTTTCAGTGTACTTTGCCTCGTGTAGCATATTTACAATATATGTTAAAATAAATTAACACAAACTCGTTGGATTAACATGGCTATGTTCGCCAGAATTTCCATTGTTTTCATGCATTGTTGAACGTAAAACCACATCTTTTGCAAAGATAGTTGATTCTGAAAGGCAAAATCAAAGCTCACATTATGACAAAAAATGCCCTTACGTGGTATAACAGAAGTAGATAAGCATAATGGCGCTGCAAGTTAAGAGAGAAAGAGCGACAACAGAAAAAAAGGTTCAAAATTTTGGAATGCTATTTTATAGCGACCATTTTTTTGAAAAAAAAATGACTCAATTTTAGCATCGGAACATGAATAACAAAAAAAATAGTTGCAATGAAAAAAAAAGTTTCGGACGTTGGAAGTCCTTTACCAGAAGGAAGCAAAACCAAAAAATTGAAAACAAATGATAGGAAAAGGAAACGTAAAAGAAATCCCCCATAAGCTTCGTCCTACAGTAAATTCGTGCATAGGCATCCTTAGGTGAATGTATGCCTCAGCAGGAATTGATCATACCAGTATAAAAAATGTTAGGGAAATTGAAAAATTTATTGTAATACGTACCGATCTGAACTGGTGCTCCAGCTGTGTAACAAAGATGAAATACTCCTAGAATAAAAATAGGTACCTTCTTTATTCTCAGTTGCTCTACGTTGTGCCGTGAACATACTCTACCTGCTCTGAAAGTAGCCAAGCGCGCATTGACTTAAAGAGATGAAAAATGCTGACTAGATATTACTAGATACATATTTGGGATGCATTCAGATGGTCGACACATAGATAGCACATGGCAATGTACAGGAAAACGTCAAGAGCAGCTTCAAATGATGGACAATAAGAACGTGCCGTTTACAAGTCATTTTCTGTTTTGAAGTGCTGGTGTAATATCCATAAAAATGGACGCCAAGAAAGCAATCATGCTCAAGGCCATCAAAACGATACAGATCAAACATGTGGCAACAGTAAAAAGGCTTTGTGTGCAACACCAATGATTGGCAATAACATCATTGGAGGTGTCAGATACACATAGTCTGTACAATCGCCTAAGGGTCTGTACCGAAGGAGAGAGAAATTGCAAGGGTGCAGGGAGCCGGGCCTTTTTTTAAAATCATCAGTTGAAACACAGTTCTAAGTGGTTAAGTGGTAAAATTTGTCACTTTTCGCTTGTTTTGGAAATGTTGCCCCCCCCCCCTCCGCCTCTGGTATGTACAACTGGAAAAGTATCCTTTGACAAATCGTTCCGCAGATAAATATCACCTTTCATACCCCCTGCCATCATTGTACTTCCCCAATCCTCTTGCCCCTTTTAAGAGACCAAACTTAATAACTTACCTTGATCATTGATCTCATAGCAGCACACAAAGCATGGCTAACCAAGCCGCTTTCAAATCGACTGCCATCTGGAACAGAGAACATGCTAAAAGGTTTTTTTGGCACAACAAAACAAAAGACAAGGGAAAAGACAATTTCAAACGCAAAATTGCCTACTTCACCAGATCAGAAAGAGCTCGCGTAAAAAGCTTGTGTGAAAATGCGGATTTTTAGAGGAGTGTTTTTAGAGGAATTATCTCAAATTTTCGATAGGCGGGTCAAAACTGGCAAAAACTTGAAATGGTGCGACAAGTTCTTGAGTTCGTGAGGTACGCAAGGTTGTCAATTGTTAATAATTGAGAATAAAATTGAAACAATAAATATCGTTTAAAAGGTGGAATTAATGGAGACAAAACTGCTTTTTCAAAACTTATGGTAGTTCACATATTTGAAAAGGTATTCGAAATTTTAAACTGAATTTACTCAGTAAAAATTGAGAAATTAAGGAATCAAAAATACATCAAATGGAGACTCGTTTTGGTTTACTGAAAACATTTAGTGTTAATTAAAATTGGCAAAGATCTGATGTGCCTAAAAGTAAGATACTGTGAATGTAAATAACTTTTATATAGAACTTGTAGCACTGGAAAGTATACTGAAAAGAACTGAAATGAAATATTTCTTAAGAATATTGAATAGTATGAAGTTTTTAGGAATCTAAGAGTACTTACTGTCGATAAATCGGCAAATATTTGAATAGAAAGAACAAATTGGCAGAATTCGATGGACAAGTTCTTGGTAGCTGACATCTAGAGATAAAGGAAAGAAATAAGATAAAGATTAATTGGTTTAATGTGTAGCACATTCGTTGAACAATATAACACAAAAATATACATTTTCCAATCGATTAGGCATTCCGTTCAATGCTAAATCAAACATTCCATGAAAATTTTATATCATGAAAATCTGGTATTTATTTATTTACTTGGATTTTTCGTACCGTATTTCATGTATTTAACAATGACTGATTATTCAACGAATCCCACAAATTAATCAGGCTTTTAAATCGTTTTTATGTGACATGAAATAAATTGAAATCCGCAATAACAAATATTGTGGAAAGAGGCCTGCAAAAGCTGCCTGTTACTTAACCTACAATTTCTGCCTAAACTGATCGAAGTACCTTCTCTAGTCTTGCTTCAATATTTCAAAAATCCTTTTCCCAAATGCTAACATTTTTCCCAGTCTCCTTTTCCCTTGAAAAATGTAACCTTCTAGATTCTAACCGTTACATTTTAGGAAAACAGCATTGATTGGACGAAATCATCCTTGCAAATTCACAGTTGTTTCAAAGGCAACTCACAAATATTGAAAGATAAAAAATAACCGCAAGTTCCTGAAAAAGCCCCCACATAAGCTCCCAACTTCAAATAGGCCCCTACTCCTACACTAAAATTAATTTTGTAAAATGAGTCCCCACCCTCGAATAGGCCCCCATGGGCGGAATTTTTCCTCAATAGCAAAGGGTTTATTCCAATACAACTGCCTGCTTAGCATACTGAACAGCCTAGATAGAGGAAGAACATTTACCCTGGTAATATTTTTGGCTGCTGCTAAATCAGCCACCATCTTCGAATAAGCCCCTCCTCGAATAAGCCCCAAGCCCGAAATATTTGTTTGCAAAATAAGCCCAGGGGGGCTTATTCGAGGATTTACGGTAACCCCCTGCAATAAATGAAATTTCAAGAGAATTGTTACACAATGATAGATAAAAATTTCATTATCAGGAACAATGTGAAAAATATTATCGAAAGTACCAAGGGACTTGTCAACATTGAACAGCACTGTCTTGTCCTTTTCCCGTCTTTCTTTTATTGTTATATACTTTCCTTCGACACCCTTGGGAAAATGAAAATAATTATTACGTAAGAAAAAGTCGAGTTAATATGGTTTATGAAAATTGAAAGAAGTCTTCTTAGAAACTAGAGCTCAACATCCAGTAGGTTAGTTGATTAGCAAATTAAAAAGCGCGCTTAGTTGGTGTAAATAACAAATGAAATATGATTGTAAAACAAAAAGTTGTAAATCTTATATCGACCACTTTAGCGATAATTTGATTGCATGATCCGACAAAAATTTTAAAGCATCCTTGTTTAGACCGCTTTTGTTTATTTATTTTTTGACAAATATATTTTCTTTCTATAAAGTTCTATTGATTTGGCGTTTTTTGCCATGCCCATCTATTTATTTTTAAATCTGAATGATATTTTATAAAAACAAAAATGTGACAATGGTATAAAAACCATGATTGACATGACTGATAAAAACCAAACAAAAATGGCAACTAAATGTCACCTAATAGCCTATTTAAAAAGGAAGGTTGAGCTCCCAATTTTCAAAAACGTAGCCCCCTTGATTTTTTGAAGCGCAAAGAAAATCACACAGATCCGGGAGGATAGTGATTCATTTAAAAAACCGATCCGACCCTTTTTCACCAGTTTTCACCGGCTCCGTTTGCAACTTGGCAATACGAGACAAAAGCTTGAACATCGGTTTTTCATGCCTCGTGAAGACGAGGTTATGCCAAAATGGCTTACTACCCATATAAGGGCATTCAGTATCAAGCTTCCTAACTAGTTGAAGAAGAAGAGGAAGCAGTAACGTATATATGGTAGGGTATGAATGAGCACAATTAAAGAACAGCATAACATAGTAACTCACCATCATTAGAAAGAGAAGGTCCTCGATAACAGAGAGTTCTTGCATTTGTAATGGCAAGGTCCCAATAGCTACAATCTAAAGCGTAAAAGAATGGAAAAATAAAACTAATTTTGAGCATCGGTATTTGCGATACGAGAATTTCGATATAAATATGAAATTATCAGGAACCAAAGAGAGCGAACAAAAAAATTAGGTCAATATGCCAAAAGGTCTAAATCACGTCATGGCTGTATCATATTTAATGTTTTCCAATAATTGTTTTTCTGTTTATTTGCTGACTTGAACCTTGACAATGCAGCCGACCTTTATGTTCAATAATTTAAATTTCGCGTTCAACCCAGGACGAAAAGGGTCATTCGAATTTGTTGACAAAAAAACAAACCAATTCAGGCAAAATTTTTTCTCTGTTTTCTTCTTTCGATCTGCATCAATGATGAGAATGGCAGAGGGCGTTAAAATTTGCACCTGTACAAAAATAAGCGCATATATCCTTTCCAGTTCTTATTTAATTTTTTCACAGCAGCATTTAATTTGTGTAAATAGATAAACAAAATTTCTAAACAAACCGGTTGCTCGGCCTTTGAGATGAGCATGAAGTCGCGAGTGAGGTACGGTCTTTCTCGAGTCCATGACGGGTTGACTGGAAGTCCAGCTGCTCCTAAAAAATCCAAAATTGACGTCATTAATTTACAGAAACTACAACAACATTTTAGCTAACGAACACTGCCAAAGGACTTCAGCCGTCAAACAGACACTTCCTGACCACAGCTTTGTGTGTATTTTTCTCTTTGGAAGTAGCGTTTATAACGAACAAGCACAAGAAAAGACACTGAAATGCAATGTTGAATTTATCAGGCAGATTCGACGATTTGAGGTTTTAGGCTTTGCCTTCTACGTGAAAAGAATACCTCTGTTTGCATATGGCGGAAACAACCCTGAAGTATATTTTGCGTTACTATTGTAGAAATTGTTTTTCTAGCTTGCATCGTGCTGATTTTTGCTCTCGTGGAATATTCATTTTAATTTGAAATTAATGAAAACTAAATTAATTTCGGGTGAGTAGGAAGTTCGATAACATTATGCTTTTACGGGAAATTCTGAATATGCCTAGCATGAAAGAGCTTGCGCCATCCATGTGCAGAATTTCCAAAAAGATGAATATCTCACTAAAAAGTGGTTAAAAAATGCCGACATCCAAGCCAAAATGGGTTATATATGCAATTATGTCAAAGTTCATTCCTGCCACTGAAGACGAGATGTTTTTGTAAAGCAGAGCCTAACACGTGATTGCTTAAACACTCGGCAGACTTGATAAGAAATGAGGAAAATGCAAGTTGGCTAGGCTCTGCACAATCATATCGTTGCACGATTACGAGTCCAGAGAGATGCTAGCCTGCGTGCAGACTTTACTATCCGTTGCGAAGGAGAGCCAATACGGAACTGGCTCTCCTTCGCAACGGATAGTAAAGTCTTTACGCAGGCTAGTGAGATGCAGACATAGAAGAAAACCTCTATGCACTAAAAATATTGTCCAAGAGGCCACAAGAAAGTACAAAGAACGGGCAATGGACGTAAAAAAAGAAGAAAAGGTCGACAACAAAAGGTTACGAAAGACAGAAATGAAAGCAACATACAGCGAGAAAGCTTGACAAAATCAACGATAACCTATCCAAGAGACTGCGCGTTTAATAAGGTACGAAAAAGAGTTGCATATATTTGAGTTGATACAGATGACAGGTGGAGCTGTGTGTTGCCACCTTTTCGAAAAATCTTTCCTTATGGTAACGTTTAAACAAGAAAAAGCAATGAACCCAACACTGATCCTTGCAGAACACAATATGAGAGTGGCAACTTTTTTGATTTAATTTCTTCAGTTTTAACCATTTGAAAACGATCTTATAAATAAGACTTGAACCAATGAAAGATTGCAGTGGCTTAAAAATATTATTGCTTACCATAAGCAAGATACGAAGAATAAGAATCTATCACTTCACGAAATCTACACTTTGATCGTTCCAACATCCAAGTCGGATGTAATGAATCCAAGTTTGTTTGCACATTTCATTCTTAACATACCTTGCTTCTTTGCATGCTTCTCTCTCAAGGCTTTGATTAAATCATCGGTGGAGCTTTGTGCAGCACTGCTAGCGATTACTGAAAGTCTTGACCGCAACTGCAATCAAAGTTGATAGCAGTAAAAAACGGGCTTTAATCTTCAGTTTACGCTTGGTGCAATTGTAATTTTTACATCATCGTCAGGTACCATCTTCTATCAGAAGGTTGGCGGCTACCATGACCCTCCAACTATCCCAAAATCTGAGTTTTGGTTTGTTGTCATGGTCATAGATAAAACTAAGGGGCTAATAGTAGAGATGGGCCCCTAGAACCACCTTTAATTTTTACATAGATGGCCTAAATAGACAGATCGCAGAGATAGAACATTCTTGTTTATTCAGCTTCGGCGATAATTGCAACTAATCAAAGTGGAGAAAATAGGCTTACGTAGCATGAGGTCTCGGTATAGTTTCTTTCACGACTGAAAATATTACATCGATGTGAAAATGCAGTGATAATTGGAGACTAGGTTCTAAATATCGATAATCTGACTCGATTAAGGACACTTTTCTTTTTTTGACCGAATTTCACTAAGCAAGCCAGGTTATTTAAAATTGCAAACGAAATAGCAGTGAAAGTTCACATAATACGTGTATGTACTAAAGGCCTTTGGAATTCAAAACACCAGAGCAATTTGAGGAAGATTTTAGTATTAGTAAGTATAAGTAATGGACTTTTCCATTGAAAGACGCATAGGAAATATAAACTAAAAGGCTATTAATTGTACTCAATAGGGGGGAGGAGGGGGAGGAGGGGGGGAGTAGGGGGTGGAGATAGACTTGGCATGAAAACACATATGTACTTGTTTTTCGCTTCCGTAGAACAGGATGCAAAAACATCAGTTATATAATCAGCATATGCAATATGACTAATCTTATGATCACCAATTCCCAAGCATATTCTACGCAAATCAGCACTTACTTCATTTACTTCTTGCGACGTCATAGGGGAGCCAAAAGAGTTATCTGCTAAATCTTTGAGCTCTTTTCCGAGACTTAAGGCGGAAGTAGATGTTGTCAGACCTTTCAGTTCTTTGGCCTTTAGCCTCTCTTTGGCGTTCTTTTCTAAAAATTTAGTTGTCTAAAATTGAAGACAATAGATTATTATCCTAATAAGAGGTAAAAATTGAGGCTTCCTTCCATGAAAAATATTGGAGATATAATAAAGCTGAATTTCAAAACAACTATCATCAGTTGGTCTATAGTTTTAAATAGGGGCATTTGAGGTTATGCAGCTCTTCATGAGGGGGCTTTGGGATAATGGTTGTAGGCTTGACTAATCTTATTCACAAGGTTTGGGGTTTTTGCAAACTTTAGTCTGGGTTTCTGGTTCCATCCAATGCTTCATCCAGGTTTCTTGATTCTGATACCCCTAAAAACCCTTCCTCAATTGATTCAATATAGGCAAACTGTGCTGTTGCCCATGTGCTCAACTTTAATGAGCAAAAAGGATGAGGTTTGTTCCATATAACTGTATCACCAAAAAAGTTCTTTTTAACTTTATTCATAATGCCAATAATTACAGTGCTGAATTAATGATAAAACAAGAATAAAAATTACTAAAAGCAGAAAGAATAACTTGAAAAAATTTTATTAAGCTATTTTTTATAAATAGAACTAGGCATTGAGCTTTAAACTACCATGATCAACAACTAGCAAATTAATTTTGTCAAAAACAACTGTCTGGACTCTTGCGAAATAAGAAAAAAACGAGAAACATCTAATGATAACAAGCTTACAAAGTGAGAAACAAAACACAAGTTAGATTATGCTTTTTAATTGTTTGGCTACTTTGGTTGTATGATTCAAAAAGACCCAAGTCCTTAAATCTCAGGCAGTAAAAAGCTGGTGGCAAATGTGTTCTATGTTGGCTATCCCCCTTGATAAAAAGCATCTTTGCTCACAACATCTATACTAGTTGTGGATGTCTTATCTTTGACTGCTTTGTCAGTTGCACTGTTTTTCTTTAAAGTGAATGCCTTAAATTTTTGGCTAGATAAGCATAACAATAATTATCAATATAAATCAAAGACACTCTCTCTACAAAGAAACTGATGTAACAAAAATTGCAGAATTTTTTCTCTATTATATAGTAAATGAATAAACCATAAATATTAAATATGGCTTTGAAAAAGCAAACGTTTTACAATATTCCAAAAGCTTTTTCATCTGACACTCCTCAGAGTATCAGATGAAACATCAGAATAATGTTTTGAAAGAACAAGACAGAAAATATATACCTGCTGTTTATGAATTGTTATGACAATTTCAAAGCCATTTCAAATTTTGTACTGCCAAAAGATTGTTCAAATATTAGATATGAATATATGTACCTGCTTATCCTGAACAATACATGACAGCAAATAAACAAGGGAGTCAAGTTCTCGGATATTTCTTGATTTAAGCTCATCATACTTTTTTAGAAACTCCCTTGGAGTCGAAGTTGCCTCTGCAATCTTTCGTCTTGCAGCATGAGATGACACCTTAAAAAAACATGGAAGTATTTAAAGTCATTTGTTAACAGCATGTACTTGTGATCTTTGCAAGCATATATATAGACAACATCAGTTATGCATTATTTATGTAACACATTTGATGTTTGATGTTATAGTCAGTTTTAGTATAGCTAGATATTGCATGAGCTTTAAACACAGAAAGAGAAAAGTCATTTATCAGTAAAAAATTGAATATCATATTTGAAACAATCAGTATTTGAAACAAATCATATTTGAAACAAAACTATATCAGACTTAACTAGAAAATATATGGCATGTTTCTCAACAAATGCACAGCTCTGTTTCTCCTTATATTATCAAGTAGATAATCAAAGAATAATTAATTTCCCATACTTGTGTGGTGACATAAGGGGTAAGGTCTTTTGTTAAAATGTCAGCATAAACTTCTGGGCCATCTCCATCACTGACTCTGCAATAAATAAGAAACTACAGGTAATGTACACAATATAACAAATAATAAAATCACTGTTGACAGGTCCATCATAGGGTGCAGTGGTGGAATATGCAGGGGTGTGGGGAGAACTGCTCTCCCCCAACACTTTTGTCAGTAAATATTGTCATTTGTCAGCAAATTTGCTTGTTTTTGTGGATTCGTGGCTTCATATTTGAAACACAAATAAATCAGATTTGACTACAAAATATATGGCATGTTTCTCAACAAGTGCACTGCTTTGTTCCCTTCCAATATCATTAATCAAAGTGGAAAATCAAAGACAGACGAATTAGCCACATCAGAAAAATGAATTTCTGCCATTGATAGGGTGTTATATAAACAGAAGTGTACACATTTGTCTTGGTTTAAAGAACAGGGTTGTTCTAAATTGCCACTGTGAACGTCAGGTTAACCTAAATCAATCAGTCATCAAGGAACTGTCGAGCTACCCTATCTTTATTGGTTTGAATATAGTAATTTGTTATGTATCTTGATGTTTTGGGGAATTCAGTCACTCTTTGGTAATATCAATAGGGGTAAAGACTTGATTTTTGGTACATAGCAGGAAATTATTTTGAAGACAGCATTTATAAACAAGTAAATAAAACAGTAAAAAGTAGATAAAAACTATGTATAGCAGATATAATACATATTTATGTATATCTATATCATATATCTACCATTATAATCTCAACAGCTTGTCACTAATGTTTGGAAATTATTTCATTGTCCCGTACAGAATAAGATTGGGTAAAGGAATTAGAATTTTTGATCTATTGCAGATGTGGAAAATTCTAAAAAACAATGAACTGATACAAGGCTTTTATGAGGAGAAAAAATTTGCAATTTTCTCTCTCGACTAACAATTTCTTTTGTGTTCTGACTTTTGTCATTGTAGAAAACTAAAAAAAGTAAAAAAAACCTTGGCAATCCTTCATAGCACACAATAACCATAGATGGATGGTGGATGGCTGGATGGTACACAGGTAACTCAATGATAACATTGCAGTCAATAAAAGGAAAAGGAATATCTACCTCAAGAGTTTAAGCAACTCTGATGCATGATGATGTATTGTAAACTCACTCATATTTTACCAAATTCACAATTTACCTAAAAGATTAATAATCTAAAACATAATAAAATAAACCAATAAGATTCATCAACAAATAATTCAGTATTTTGTGCTTGTTTGCTTTGTAATGCAATTCTGTAACATATCTCTGGAGTACACAGATCACTTGATCACCCCCTCTCACTTCTATCAAAATTAAGTATACGCAATTTTAAAAAAGGGATTGAATTATATAGGGTATAGCAAATAAATGTTTTTACTGCCTACCAGAAAAAACACTATAGATTAGCACTATGTTGGTTGAATATGATCTAAAAAGCTATATGGAAAGGTATCTTTAACATAGAGCAGCAAAAAGTAAAATGATATAAAGACATATATTGGAACTTGAAATGGCCTTCGTCATGTTGGTAATATGGAAGCTCTAGAAGTTAGCTTTCACATAGGCCACACACAACTTGTAGACATTGTAATGTATATCAGTGAAAACCAGTCTGCAGAGTATTATAGATGCACTCGAGAGGTCAGTTTAGAAGTGATTGCAAGTTTTTCAAGCAGAATTATAATGAATTAAAAAGATTCGCTTGAATCATAACAGAAGCGACTCGCTTCACGAGATTTGACATGAATGGGAGTTTGCATTTGTTTATTTTATAGAGACATCGGCAATGAAGCCTATTCTATTTATTTCAAGAAATAAGTAAATGAATCTACAAATTTACCTCTCGAAGGTCGTCGATTTTACAAAATACCAAGCGGATAATTTTATTCAATCCACATGAAATTCATCGTTGAGAAACATCAAAATATAAATGGCGCCATTGGTGACCTCGGTTTCAATGAGAGGTCTACTGGTCATTTTGCCACCGCTTTACGTCAGCGCGTTGACGTGTCCAAATGTTTTCAATAGTTTGACCAGCATTGCAGACACTTCTGTAACAGGCACCGCGGAGCGTTGAGAAAAGTGGGGGGTCTTTAAAAAGCGAGGGGGGCTAAAACCGTATAAAAAGGCTTTACTGGTAGTTTATTACTTAATATAAAGGCTTTACAGCCCCCCCTGCTCCGCGGTGCCGGTGTAAAGATGCTTTTCTTAATTAGTTCTTTTTCTTTCAATTTTGGGTTGCACCTTGTTGATATCCTCTGAATTCACCCTAAAAAACTTTTCTTTGCGCAAAACTTTCTTATATCTTCTTGCTTTTATTAAGCATGAAACTCGGAGACGTTAAGGGGGAGGGGGCGTTGATGAAAGGTCTACCATAAAGTGCGTATAGGCGGAGCAGTTTGTATACGCTTTTGGTGTACAGTCAACAGGATGGACACAAGTGAAGTGAAAATCGTGTGAAAATTCAAAGTGGAGATGATTCGAACCTCGATTCGAGCATTATGGGCCATTATGCATAAATAATGTTGCAATCGTACGATAAGTAAATAAGGAAAGACAATTGAAAGAAACTAAAGTAGTAAGACAAAAGAAAATTATTTTCCCACTTGTTTTAATCTGCCACGTGTTAGGGATGAGAAACGCTCACTTTGAAACATTCTAAATTGACATTATGGCTTGGTCAATTGAATTTGTCAATACTGATGTATATGTTGCCAAGTTATAAATGATGAATCAACATGGTCTAGTTCTTTATAAATTTACATCAACACTGGAATTGTTATTGATTGAATAACCAGTTAGAGTATGCTGCATCTAATTTTGAACTAACTGTCATATGTTGCTATCTGTTTATCCTATGATAAAATTTACTACTTGCGCATTTCTCTACTTCTCAATTTCTTCATGATTTTGGTTTCACCGTGGTTTCCCTAGTGTTGAAATGGTTGAAATATGCTAAGACAAAAACCCACAGTCCACATTTGAAAAATGTTTAACCAAGCAAGTTTTCGAATTTAAAATGATTAGGTCCAGATCAGTGGCGTGACGGAGGCAGCTGGGGCCTCTAGGGGTTTTCAGTCCGCCCCCCCCCCAATTTTGACTTTTGTAAAACAATATAGACGGAGCACAAAATGCTAATCAAAAGACTTTAAATTTAACTAGAATGAGGTATCATGACACCCAGAATACCAGCTTTGCAGCAAAATAACATAAGAAACCCTTTTGTGGGGGTCTCTAAAAGTTGAGGGCCCCTATTTTTTAGTTTTTGACAAAAACCATTAGTCCGTTGCGCAACTGGCTCGAGCACAAAGTTGTTGTCTCTAGTTTTATCTCATCACCCAACCAGACCCTAAATCCTCGCTCCTTTTACAGTTGGAGAGATGATGTCTAGGAAAGGGTTGATGGAAAGAAATACCAGTAGAGAATGTGGGTAAAAAAAACTTTTTCAAGAAAGAAAGAAGAAGGGAGAGTTCCACTCAGGCACTGCGCAGCCATTAGGCTAACAGGGGCTATGCCCCCCCCCATTTTTTGCAAGAATAATTTAAAAATCTTTTGGAAAGTTTATTCTAAGGCAATTTTGGGAAGTTTTAATCTAACGTATCCTTATTAGTAGCAGTTCCTCTTGACTAGGAACCCATTTTTTATTACATTCTCAAGCTAATCGTATCTATTTTTCAAGTAATTGTTACCTCTCGATATCAGATTATTTAAAAAGGCGAGTTGAAATAAGCAATATTTTCTATAAGGGGCATTCTACAGGGCGTGGCCTTTAACCTTTTTGTTCACGCCCTATTCACTGGCCCTACTCTTAAACTGGTAAGAGGCGCCTGGTTCCATTTTCTTGTTTAGCATTTTTGACTTTGACTTTGACTCTGAGACTGTTGACAAGGAATACTTTTTCAAGTATTTCAGACTGCCTGTCAATAGGCTTCCTTCATGTAAATACATCTTTTGCGGGGGCTCCGATGCAGGTTGGAAAGCGGGGGAAGGAGGCCAAGGGTAAATGACAGACCCATAATGAAAGATTTTGCAAAAAAGCTCTATTGTTTAGCAAGAAAGTGGGGAACATTGCCTCATCTAGCCTCTCCGTCGTCGGTGGCCTTGTTCTGCACATGAATGTACTGTAAACCGTGTTCGGCTTTCTGTTTTCTGTCCATATACCGTGAAAAGGAACTAAACCTTAGCAGGAAGCATTCTTTGAATAATACTTGCATAAAATCATCAAATGATTTCTGAAACTGGCAAATCTGTTGATGATTGATGATTAATTGAGCTGCATTTACCTGTTTGTTCTTTAAATATATATGGTTTAAAGCACTATGAGTTTTGACTTTGTTGCGACTTATTTGATTGTGAAATCGTTTGGAAATGTCCGGTCGCCAAAGCCAAATACTTGGGCCGGACAAGAAAATTTGGAATAAAACAAGATTAGCAGGAAATTGATTTTTCCAATGATTGCCAAACGAATGATTTCTTGCCAAGATCTTGCTTAAAAACTGCTCGGCTTAATTAATAATGGTACCTTAAAGCCTTCAAGAAGCCAACATTAGCTTTATGCTTTAGACGAACGCAGATGTGACTCAACCTTCATCTATTTCAATTTTTTTAACCAATTTTCTCTGAAATTGATTAATTTTTTGCGCATTTAATTTACCTCTATAATCTGTTAATAACCTCAGGTATTAAACACAGCTTTAATAAAAACAATATTTGTACAGGTACATTCTGCGCTGAAACATGAATTGCTTTGCTTGTTTAGCTTGAGATTCCTATCTGATTCAAACTAGCTTGCTTATTTAGCATAAACTGCCTGCAGGTGCTCCAACCTCTAAAGAAGCACTTAAAGCTTAGGTAATGCGAGTTAGCACCAGTGGCGTTACACCAGACCTTCCAGAATAAGAGTCATAAGGGTTTTCAAGAGTATTATTTACCAATGAAGGCATATACATAAAGAAGCACCAAGGTGCTATTTCACCTACTGACCAAGTCAAAAAGAATTGTAGGGATTAGAAGCCAAAGGAATTGTAATCCATTAGCAAAAATCACACTGCTACAAACAGTTCAACAATTTAAAAAATATTTTGATGAAGTCATCATTTTATTTTGTTATTGCGAGGAATCTTGACCACGCAGGTTTCATCCAATCTCTGTTTACCTTTGTTGTGTCATGTCATTCAATCCCTATCAAATTTTCATTAAATTGATAAGATGGATAATAATAATAATAATAATAATAATAATAATAATAATAATAATAATAAAAATACTACCTTTTTACTATTAGTTTGACAATAGTGTGAACACTAATAAACACTAACATGAAGCAATTTAAGAGATTGCATTATGGAAGTCATTGACTGCAAGCGTTACAGGCGCATTGATTTTCGAAATACCAATCTTTTATAAGAACTTTAAATTGATTTGCATTTTTGGATGATTTTATTTGATTTAGAAGAGAATTCCAAATCTTTGGATCAAAAAAGGTAATAGATTTTATACCATAACCTGTAGTTTTAACCTTGGGAACAGATAGAGTATCCATTTTTCGAAGATTATAGCTATTGGGTTTTGGGAGAAAGTAGATTTTCATAAAGGCTGGATTCAAGTTGTGCAAATGTAGTCTTGCATTTTATGTAATAAGTACCTAATTAAGACCTGTCCAAGGAGCAAGATATGTTAATTGTTATAATTCAAATTCGATATTATTTAGCTACAGCTAGAAGCCTAAAAATGCATTTGCAGCTAGGAGAGACACTTTGACATATTTGGCCTCACCCAAGAACCTGTTTCCCAAGACGCGCCCTCCAGTCCTCGGAAGGATTTATTGTTTGAATTCGAAGATAATGTCTTAGGGAAGAAGTATTTCATTGCGATGTAATTTATGATTTTGAAACTACATTACGTAGCCAAAAAATATTCAAAAGTTAGTCCTGTTGGTAAAATGAATTTTTCAAATATATCTGCATTTTTAAGCATACTGACAATCCTCTAAAAAAATATATCCTGGTAATATTTTCAGCTGATGCTAATAAGTCCCTGCCTTCGAATAAGCAACCCCCCCCTCCCTCGAATAAGCCTCTACCTTGAAAACCATACATCTAAACTATAATTAAAAACCCAACATCAAGAAAATGAAGGGATAAGATAATAGGAACTAAAAAATAGGAAGCGATAGGCTACAAAAATTGAATATTATTGTCCAAACCAATTAAAACAAAAGGGGACGGTTTCAGAGGCAAAAAATACGGAAATTTATTTCAATTTCAAATAAGTGAAACAAATAAATCATTAAATGGCAGGTGAAGTTTTCTGACAGCAATTAAGATAGATAAAAAACTGTCTTCGCACAGGTAAATACACTAGGTTAGCGAATGCTACCTTTTATCCATCCAAAACTTCCTTTCTCCTTCCTTCATCATCCTTCGTTTTATTCCTACCTTTTATCCATCCACTGCCCTTCCAATTGCTCAAACGAAACTCAGGGACGTTGAATTATAATATTTGATAAAACGTCTGACTGAATTTCGTTCTATCCAGTTCAAAACATCATACAAATATGGAGTTCAAAAGGGGATCTTCCCGCCACACTTGAACAGCAATGTTAAAAGATCAAATTCTGTTAACAGGGACGTTAAATTATGTTGAAAAGCTTCATATAATGATTAGAGTTGTATCGAATCGCAGCAAAATTTACCGAAGGACACAAAAAGTTGGGAGAGAGGGTGTCCAATCCTTAAAAACCAGGAAAATCTCTCCCCACTGTAAAATTTTCACAAAAAGTTGTCACATAGTGCTGTTTTTTATATTAAAAGATTTCAACACTAACTTGTGTAACGAATATCTTCAACTCAATTAAGATTTCAGCTACTAATTAAAAATCAATATAGACTAAACACGGAAATTGTTGTCTTGGTGTTCACCTGCAGCAGCTGATACACTTATATATTGACGAGTTCATTACGGGTTAGCGCATTTGGTGTCAAAGCGTTGAACAGATAATGAAGAACAATTATTAGAAATGCGGAAACAGTACAGAGATCTTGATTCCCTTCATA